TCGGCTGCTGAGTGGCCTGGCGGCTCGGCTCTTTGGGTGCTCCGTCGCCCGGGCGGCTCGGCGGTGCTGCTGCAGGGCGGCGCGGCGGTCGGCTGCTTGGCTGGGTGGGGCGGGTCAGGCAGCTCTGGTGGCGGGCGGCGCTGCAGCAGGTGACGAGGCCGCAGAGGAGAGCGGCGGGGCCGCAGGTGAGAGGCGGCGAGGCCGCAGCAGAGGGCGGCGTGGTTGCAGGTGACAGCGGCGGGGCCGCAGATGAGGGCGGCGGGGCCGTAGCAGATTAGGGCGGCTACGAGCCACTGCTAGGGCGGTGACGGGCCGCAGGTGAGAAGGGCGGCGACGGGCCACAGGTGAGAAGGGCGGCGACGGGGCCGCAGGTGAGAGGGCGGCGACGGGCCGCTGCTAGGGCGGCGACGGGCCGCAGGTGAGAAGGGCGGCGACGGGCCGCAGGTGAGAAGGGCAGCGACGGGCCGCAGGTGAGAGGGCGGCGACGGGCCGCAGCTAGGGCGGCAACGGGCCGCTGCTAGGGCGGCGACGGGCCGTTGCTAGGACGGCGACGGGCCGCTTGTGAAAGGGCTGCGCGACGCGGCCGTTAGGGCTGCGCGACGCTACCCTAAGGGCGTCGCGACGGGCCGCTAAGGGCGACGCGACGGGCCGCTAAGGTGACGCGACGGGGCCGCTAAGAAGGGCGTGACCCTAGGCGCGCTTCGGGCAGGGGCAGGACGCGCCCGGGGCAGAAAAAAAAGGGATCGTTGGGCCCTAGGAACAGTTCCCACGAGGGAACCTGCCTGATACCATGAGAAAATATGAACGAGAATGAATGAACTATGAATGAAGTGAGTACAAGTAATAACCCTAATTGGGTTGTATCCCCTATGGGATACCCCACTATAGCCTACACAACAGCATAAGCTATAATGTTATGACCAACACTGCTGATGTCTTCACCAAGGCACTTGCGCCTTGTGATCATCAACGCTTCTGCACTCAGCTGGGTCTTGTGCCAGTCTTGCCTCACTTGCTCACCTCTTGACCTTGCTTGTAGTGTTACATATATATATACCTGCTCTTACTTGTCTAGCTTTATATATATGTGTACTCTTGCATGTGAACTGGCCTTGTGGCCTTGACCTTGTCCTCGAAATGTGTGGTGACTTTGAGATCCACCCTGAGCTTGTCTTGGTTTGCTTTGCTTGACTGGTCTTGTGACCCCTTGTTCTCCCCCACTTTGCCTATGGGGGTGTGTCGGAACATTATATAGCTTATACATTTGTGTAGGCTGTAGTGGGGTATCCCATAGGGGGTACAACCCAATTAGGGTTAGTACTTGTACCCACTTCTTTCATAGTTCATTCATTCTCGTTTTGGTTTTCTCACCAAGGTCCCACAGGTGGCTTCCGTGGTGACCGAGCCTTCGCCTCGGCAGTAGACGAAGCTGACTGGGACGAGCAGAATGTGGACAACGCATTGGAAGAAGCCGGACCTCTTCCCTACTGCTCCGTTGATGTCCCCATGGACGACGAAAACCCTCGCGAAAGTGTCAACGCCGAAACCTTCTACTATTTCGCCGACAACGGTTACGTAACACCTGCGATAGTCAACACCAACGAAGCAGAGCAACTAGGGCCAAATTTCATACCTGACCCAGAAGCGGGAGACGAAGCAGATTATCCTGAGGATGCAAATCTCCCCCGCTACTCACAAAGTGGACTGCAAATTCTCGGCCTTGTCACCGCAGTCCACGGCAAGGCTCTGGGGGGGGAACATAGGGAGAAATGGCGTGAAGCCATGGATAGGGAGTTAAAGGCGTCGAAGGAACGGAACACCTGGAATGTCGTTCCCCTCACCGTGGCAAGAAACAAGACAGCACTCACCGGGAAATGGGTCTTCCGTGTTAAAACAAAAGCAGATGGCACAATTGAGAAGTTCAAAGCACGCTGGGTCGTGCGTGGATTCGATCAGCAGCACGGACGGGACTTCACCGAGACATTCGCCCCAATCAGCCGACAAACCTCACTTCGAATCCTCCTCGCGATCGCCGCCATGAAAAAGAAGAAGCTACGGCAGATCGATGTCGCCAACGCGTCCCTCTACGCACCTGTCGACGCGGATATCTTCGTCGAGCTCCCACACGGCTCCCACGCGGAGAGCCTAATCAAGTCTGTCAGCTGCTGAATTTGCTCTACGGCATTAAACAAGCCCCAAGGCTGTGGCAACATTACCTACACGCCAGGCCCCTCCGCATCGGTCTCCGCCAGCTACCTCATGACCAAGGAATGTACCGGCTTACAAAAGGCGACGATTACATCCTACTCATTGTCTACGTGGACGACTTACTCTACATCGACTCTACTGACAACATCACCACCTAGTTCGAAGGGGAGTTACAAAAGGATCGCACGCTCACAGTCTCTCCTACCGTCACGCAATACCTTGGTCTGAACATCCGGGAAGAAGGAGGCGCGATCTACCTCAACGCCGCTAAATACGCCGACACCATCGCCAAACGCTTCGCACTCACGCCAACCACCATCTCCACGCCATACCGCTACACGGCAGTAAACCACAAGGAAGGCTCCACTCCACTTAAGCCTGCCGGGATACGCGACTACCAGAGAAAGCTGGGAGGCCTTCTCTTCGCAACTGTCACCTGCCGCCCGGATCTATCATACTCTGCAAGTCAATTCGCCACCTACCTCAAAAGGCCTGAAGCTGAACACATGGCGGAGCTCGACCGCGCTCTTCACTAGCTCGTTAGCACGCCGACGATCGGCCTGACCTACTACAAGAACGGAACTACAACGCCGAAGTTAATCGGCTACGTCGACGCCGATCACGCCAAAGATTCTGACAACAGACGCTCGCGTATAGGCTACATCTACCGCCTCGAGCCTATCGGACCTATCTCGTGGCAGTCGAGCAAGCAGGAATTAATCGCTCTCTCCTCAGCTGAAGAAGAATATATCGCACTCTGCTCAGCCACCTAGGAAGGATTGTACCTTTGCGAACTCTTGGAGGAAGCGAAGCTGGCTCAGTTACCCAGCTTCATGTCAGAATGTTATCATCTAGCCTGTAGTGGGGTGCTCTATAGCGAGTACAACCTAGTTAGGGTTTCCTATATGTATCCCAACTGCTGCTAGTGAAACCCCTCTCTTTTGCCTAAACTTTCACTTGCCTAGCTAGGGCTTACCTAGCTATGGCTCCTCGTTATGCCTATGATTCTAACATGCTATCAGAGCGATCCCGCTCCTGGCCTGTGGGCCCACCTGCTTCCGCTGCCCTACGCTGTGCCGCACGCCCCGGAGCGCGCGACCTTCAATTTTTCATCCCGCGCGCGCTCGGGGCGCGCGGCGGTTTTATGCCCGCCGTGCGCCCCGAGGCGCGCGGCAATTTCCTGCCGTGGAGGAGCCCGCGCGCGCCTTGCCTGTTCGTCGTGGCGCCCTGGGGAGCCCGCGCAAGCCCTGCCCGTTCGTCGCAGCGCCCTGGGGAGTCCGCGAGCGCCCCGCTCGTCCGTCGCGGCGTCCTGGGGAGCACGCGCGGCCCCCAAACTGCTCGTCACGACGCCCTGGGGAGCACGTGTGACCCCCGCCCGTTCGTCGCGGCGCCCTAGGGAGCCCGCGCGCGCCTCGCTTGTCCGTCGCGGCGCCCTGGGGAGCCGTGCGCGCGCCCCCCTCCGCCCATCCGTCGCGGCGCCCTGGGGAGCCGCGCGCGCCACCCGCCTCCCCCCGTCCCGCCCGTCCGTTTTGGCGCCCTGGGGTCGCGAGCCGTCCCCCCTCGCCGTCCCCCGCGCTCATGCCCCTATCCCACCCGTTTTAGGGTTTGGGGGTGAGGAGTGTGGGGGTGGCGGTTGTGGGGGTGTCGGTTGTGTTCGCCGTCCCCTTCTCCTCCGCCTCCTTTGTCTCCCACTGCTGCAGCTGTCGCTGAGGGGGGTGGTGTGTGGGAGCCTAGGGTTTAGGGTTTAAGGAGGGTGCCGTGGGAGTGGAGCTAGGGTTTGAGCAGGGGGTGTGTGTCGAGGGTGTGGGGCAGTTGGAGGAGGTTGTGTGAAGGTAGCTGTCGTGTCGCCTGCAGCGCGTGTAGTCCGTCGCCCTTGCTTCGGCTCTACCACTTCATTCTGTTCTGCGACAACCAGTCGGCAATTCGTATAGCCAACAAGAACGGATTCGCGAACAGAACGAAGCATATCGCCCTGCGATATTTCTTCGTGAAAGACGAAATCGAGAAGGGGTGACTTGAATTATCCTACTGCCCCACGTCCGAGATGGCAGCAGATTACGGTACTTGACCAAGAAGCTTGGAAAGCATAAGTTCGAGTACTGCATGTTGCTGACTGGACAGAGCCACGTCACCAGCAGCGACACTCCAGAAGCGAAAGGGGAGTGTTGGGAACAAGTAAGCTAAATGCGCCTCTGTCGTGTCGAAACACCAAGTCAGAAGCGAAGCAGAACATATCGAAGCATCGGCGAGTCAACCCTCGGAGGTTGAAACAACTGTTGGAGGTTACGCGAAAGTCAAAGGTCAGCGACCTTTGACCTGACAAGTACAGCGCGAGAGCAAGGACACACAACTGACTCAATATTGAGCAGTTGACCGAGTCGTCACTGTATCGAACCGCAACAACAAACAGTAAAGCAGTTATTAACCGTATCTCTTTGTATTCCTTGTACTCATATAAATCTTTGTACTTGCTTGTTTTAATCAACTTACTTTGGCCTCACATACCAGCGCAAGGTGGTTCACAAAGTCCTTATCGAACGCTTCCGCTATTACATCATCCTACCCTGAATTTAGTCCTACAAAGATCCTAAGGGCCTTTTCAGCCCAACATGGTACACCCCTGGCCTAAGACTTCTCTTGCAAATTTTGCCCTGATACTGCAATCCTAGCTCATTCCCCAAATGCACTGGTAGCTTCGTGGTATAATTATTGTAAACTTTTGTAAGGCTGATAATGAATAATGATAACCATACATATATCTATATCCTAGTTTTCCCATGCCTTCCCATATTTTAGCGCCTCCAACTGCCCCCTAGCACGACACCAGCGGCCCTAACATCCCCTCGCTTTGAAAATGATGTGACAGACTCTAGCCTCTCAGGTCCCTTCATATCCAAATGAGCTGCACCTGCATCCCCCTCATCAGGGCTCATACTTTCATCCCCACTGAAGAACGGATTCCGGCTCCTGTGTCCTTCCCCCTTACAAGTCTCTTGTTCCTCCACCCCTCGCTCTCCAACCACCCCACAATTATCTTCCTGCCGCTCCGAAGCTTGCACCGCTCCAACTGTTCGCCTCTTCCCAAACGGACTGCCCTTCCTCCACGCCCTTTCCTTCTTCCCCTCACCCTCCCCCTCCGCCCCTCCCTCCCTCCTGCCCAACCCCACAGCCTTCTCCCATTTCCTCGCTGCATCCTCTTTCCGAATAAAATCCTCCTCAGCACCCTGATCAGCATTCCAAGGGGAGCCCTCTGCCCTCTCCTTAACAGCACCACATGTGCCTTCTCTAGCCGCCTCGTGCACAACCTCACCCGCAGCCTTTGCACCACCACCACCACCATGCCCACCACCAGTGACCTGCGGCGTCTCAGAAGCTTCCCTGGGCGACTTGCTCTTGCAGAGAATCAATTGAACCCTAACCCCCTCCACTTCCCCAACCCCACCCCCGGCCCCACCTTGCGCGTCTCTCTCTCCTGCCCTCCCTGCTGCGTCCGCCTCAGCCCCATCTGCCCGCCGCCCGCCCCTCTTCTCCTTCTTCAGGCTTGGCGATCTCCGGGGCAGGCTCGGGCTCCTGGCCTCCAGGCTCGGGGTCCTAGCCTCAAGCCCCAGCAAATCACCTTCAACCACGTCAGCACCTGGAGAGAGGGACTCTAAGACTGGCTGCCGCATCATCTGCTTGACGACCTCCGTTGACTGCATTGACTGGTTTGACCGGTTTGACCTGGGAGAGTGTTCGTCCTCCACTGGTGACCCTCGGGCCTTTCTGCTCTTCCGCCGCTCGCCCTGCTGCGTGCTGCCTGGGCTGCACCCACCACCCTTGCCCTCCCCCCTCCTCGCCCTCCCACGTCCTCCCTTGGCCTGCTTCCTGTGACCATCGGGTGATTGCTCTTCCTCACCCGCTCCCTCCTTCTCCACTCCTCTGCTGCTGCTCCTCTTGTTGTCTCTGCTGCTCCGGCTGTTGTTGAGTCGCCTCCGGGGCTTCAACCCCCACTCGCTTTCCGTTGCTACTACCCTGCTCTCTCTTCTCCCCTCTCTTTCCCCCTCTCTCTCCTTCCATCTCTCCTCTTCTCTCTCAATCTTTCCAACCTGCTTCTCACTCTTGGACCCATCATCACCCCTGCTACCCCTCCTGCCCCGGCTGCCACTCCTGCTTCTGTCACTTCCACCCCCCTTGCTTCTGCGCCTGAACCCACTGTCCCTGGACGTTGCTGACGTCACGCTGCTCCCAGCTGACGTCATGGACGCCGTTCGTCTTGGTACAGGTAATCTCCCTCTAGTCTGACGTTCCATGTCTCCCTCCTTCCCTCCCTCATGCCACATTTCCTCTTCTCCTTCTTCCTCTTCCTCATCATCCTCGTCACTCCCTGGCCCTTGAAACACCTCCCACTCCCCACTCGTCCACATCCCCTTCCTCCCCCTCTCCCTGCTCTTGCTGCTCCTCCTCCCTCCTCTCCCCTTGCTGCTGCTGCCTTCCCCTTTGCTGCTGCTCCTCCTCTCAACCTTCCGACCAGTATCATCACACAAAGATTCGCACACTGCCTCCCTCCTTCCCTCCTCCCCTCCATCCAACTCTCTCTCTTCCAACGCACCTTCCCGTCTCCCTCCTTTCCCTGCTTTCCTCTCCCTCCCCTCCACCACCACCAGCTTCTTCTCTGTCTCATAGCTAGTTGCACTGCCCCAATTGCCATTCCCCCCACCACCGTTCACTCCGCCATTCCCATTCCTCCCTCCACCATTGTCACTCCCTACACCATTATCCTTCCTCCCATCGAGCCGACCAGCACCCACGCTCCCCCCCTTCATCCTCCCCATCGCTGCCTGCCCTCCCTGCCTTACAACAGGAGTGGTCGACCGAGTGACAGGCGAGGGTGAGCGAGCAGACGCGACAGCAGCAGAGAGACGAGCAGCAGCAGAGCGCGGAGCAGCAGGAGAGTGCGGAGCGAAAGGAGAGCGCAGAGCAGCGGAAGGAGAGTGAGGGGCAGCAGGAGAAGGTAAGCCGCCAGTGGGGGAGGGAGACCTGCTCCGCTTGCCATCAGGCACAAGCAGCCGCTTCAACGGAGAAGCGAGCATGCTTATAGGGGAGACGGTACGCCTTAGCGAACGGTTGGAAGTGCGAGCAGGGGAGACGGGGGAGGTGCTCCCAGTTGAGGGGTGTGTGGGGGAGGTGCGTGTAGGGGAGGTGTTTCTAGTTGAGGTGCGTGTTGGGGAGGTGCGTGCGGGTGAGGTGCGTTTATAGGAGGTGCGTTTAAGAGAGGTGCGTTTAGGGGAGGTAGACCTGCTCGTTGGAACCGTTGACTTGGTCAATGCAGGTTTGACCAGCGTGGACTTGCCTGCAGGGGAGCGCAGTGCAGATTTGGGCGAGTGGATCGTGGCTGTGGGCGGGTACAACTGGCTGAAAGGGGAGGTTGATCTGAGGGAGGTAGATCCAAGAGGGGAGGTAAGCTCGTGCAGAGGGGAGGTAGGCTCATCAAGTGGGGAGGGGACCTTGAGGGGAGAGGTGGAGCGGCGTCTGCTGCCAGGCAGGGCCTGCTCTATGGCTTTTCCCAGCACACTGTCCCCCTGCGGCTCCCCCCACCTCTTCCTCTGCCTCCGCCCGCTGCTGCGCTCGCCCGCTTCCTCCTCCTTCTCCCTCCGCGCCTCTTTCTCCTGCTCCTGCTGCTGCTGTTTCTGCTGCTCCCGCTTCAGATGCTGCTGCTGCTGCTCCCGCTTCAGCTGCTGCTGCTGCTGCTCCCTCTGCTGCTGCTTCTCCTGCTGTTCCCTCCGCTGCTGCTGCTGTCGCTGCTGCTGTCGAACCTGCTCCTCCTTCCTCGCTCTCTGCTCTTTCTCCCTCCCCTCTGCACCCTCATCTTCCATAACCACCTCCGTCCCCTCCTCCGAATCTGCACACGAACTTGACACCAGCGAAGCTGCGTAAACGCCCACTGCAGCTTCCCCTTCGCTTACCAGTTCCTTCTCTGTATCCACTACCACCTCCCTCTCCCCTTCTTCTTCCTCCTCTTCCTCCTCGTCCTCCTCCTCTTCTTCCTCCTCATCCTCCTCATCATCCTCGCTCCAATCAGACCCGTAACTGTCGTCCCCATGCCGTTCCAATACCTTCTCCCCTTCATACCGACCTCCACCCCTCTCCTCTCGTACACAACCACGCACTGGAGCAGCAGCAGCAGCCGCAGCAGCAGTGGCGACAGGGGAGGCGGTGGCAACAGCAGCAGCGGCTGTCTTACCAGCAAAAGCTGCAGTAGCCGCAGGGAAAGAAGCAGCAGCAGCGTCAGCAGAGGCTACGGCAGCAGTGGCAGCAGCAGCAGTGGCAGCAGCAGCAGCTGCAGCAGCAGCAGTGGCGACAGGGGAGGCGGTGGCAGCGGTATGGGGCATAAGGGCAGGCGAGGAGGGCGGAAGGGACTGGGAGGTGAAGGGGGAGGAGAGGGAGGTGAGGGAGCCCAGAGAGAGAGAGATCTTACTGCCGTCTGATGACCCCGTCACAGCTGCTCCGGCTGTAGCGCCTGCAGCATCTGTAGCGGCAGTCGCGGCTGTAGCGGCAGTCGCGGCTGTAGCAGCTGTGGCAGCTGAAACAACTGTAACATTGTGTTCACGTGCCCCCTGCCTGTCTGCTGCTGCGTAGTCTTGAAACGTCTCAATCATTGTCGCACGTGCCCCCTGCCTGTTCACTGCTGCGTCTGCTGCATACGTGTCGAGTTCACCTGAGAAACCTGATATTTCACCTGAGAGGGCTGACGCCGCACCAGTGGCCCCACCTGAGGAGAGAAAGCTGGTACAGCTTCTGTCGTCCTCTGTGGCACTCTTTTCTCCCCCACCCACCTTCTCGCCCTCACCCCTCTCGGCGTCTCTCCCCTCTTCCTCTTCCTCTTCCTCCTCCTCGTCGCTACTACTACCATTTTCACTGTAATTGCTCTCACTCTCTTCCTCGCTCTCCTCCCCCTCGCTTTCCCCCTCACTCTCCCCCTCCTCACTCTCTTCCTCACTCTCTTCCCCCTCACTCTCCCCATCCCACTCCCCTCGTCCTTCAACCCCCACAGCAGGCAAGGAGGAACGACTAGCAGCGCCACCACCCACCGCAAACCCGGGCGTGTCAACAGAGCTTCGGCACGACGCCCCTCGAACCAGCGTAAGCGAGCTATCCGACTCTCCCACTCCCCTCCTCCTCGCCCCCACGCTCTCCCCTTCTGCTCCTGCTCCCCCTGCCCCTCCCCTCACGCCCTGGCTCGCACCCAGAGAGAAACTGTCAGAGGGCGGACAGGGGGCAGAGAGAGGGCTGGGGTCAGAAGGACCAGAGGGAAGGGGGGAGGAGCCAGAGGGAGGGGGGGAGGAGCCAAAGAGGAGGTCCGAGATCCGGGCGGCGGTGGGGGTCATCATTGTCGCTGCTGCCACTGCTGCCGCCCACAGCGCTGGCTTCGCCTCCGGCCCCGCTGGCAGTCCAGCTGGCAGTCCAGCTGGCGAAGCGGGATTGACCAGTCCGGGAGTTGGGGTACTAGCGTGAGCAAGGGGAGTGGTGGGGGCAGCTGCGGAAGGCGCAGCAGATGGGGGTATGGCAGGGGGCATGGCAGAGGGAGGCGTGGCACGGGGGGTTGTGCCGGGGAGTGTGGCGTTAGCAACAGTGCGAGGAGCAGCGCCCTTCATTGCACTCTTCCCTGTCACCCTCGCTTCAGCTTTCTCTCCCTGGTGGATCTGCACCTCCTCTGTCACAATCTGCTGCTGCTGCTGCTGTTTCTGGTGCTGCTCGTGCGTTGGTCGGTTTGCAGCCGGATAGCACTCTGTTTCGGGAGCAGCTGCTGCTACCTCTAACGGGTCCACCTGTAACGCGGATGCTGCATTGGGAGAGGGAGCGTCATGCTCTTCCCAAAGAAAGGCGTCTGTAGCAGGAGGGGAGAGGAAAGGGTTCGTGGGATGCAGTTGCAACTCATTCTCACACGTCCCCCCTATTTGTGAATACCCTTGCAGTGCCCCCTGCTCCGCGCTCACTCCTGCCTCGTCCCACACGCCCACCGCCCATGCCGGTTTGTCTATCGAGGGTGACTGTATCAGGTCCCCTGCTGTTCCATCCAGCCATGCTTTTACTGCCGAGCCGTCTCCCGATGTTCCATGTGTCACCCTTTCGGTTACTGCAACTGCTGCTGTCTTTGCTCCTGATTCCTCCCCTGCTGCTGCTACTGCTGATGTACCGACAACAGCAGCAGCAGCAGCAGCAGCAGCACCACCACCACCAGCAGCGGCAGCATGAGGAGTGGCATTACCAGCAGCATTGACAGCACCAGCAGCAGAATCAGTCACAGCAGCACAAGGGGCATTGGCAGAACCTAGCCCCACAGCACTCTGGCTTTCCTGTTCCTGTGACCCATCCATTCCAGCCAGCGTCCACACTCCCTCTCCGTTCACCTCTCGCCACACCAAAGCAGGCCCGCTCCTCCTCCCACCGCTCTTCACCGCACTGCTCCCCGAACCTGATCTTACCAGCCCCACACCTCCCGCCACAGTCGTCCCAGCCTCCACACTCCTGCCTACACCCTGCTCTCCCTCCTCCTCTTGTCCCACCTGCTTACCCTGCTCCGCCTGTTCTCCAATCCCCTCTCCTCCGGTATACACCCTTCCCTCCTTTCCAGCAGCGGCAGCAGCAGCAACAACACCACCACCACCTCTTCCATCAATCTTACAGCCAATCCCAGCCTGCGGATTCGCCACGTCATCAACCGACTCCCATGGCAGCGGCATCCCATTTATAGGCGGCGGCCGCATCTTCTCCAGACTCGCTCGCCCGCTGTACACTGGCGGCCGCGCGACGGCTCCTGGCGTGGCAGGCCGAGCTGGCAGGACAGGGCATGCTGACGTGGCAGCGGGACGAGGAGAGGCAAGAGCTCCTGGAGCCACTGCCACATCAGCTTCCCCAGCAGCACCACGTCCCCCACCGCCCTCCCTGTGACTGTTCTCTTTCGAAGGGGAATAAGATGCCCACAGGGGGGGCAGGACGGATAACCCATCACCACCACTCGCATTACCCCTCGCATCCCGCACGCCTGCACTCCCCCTATCCTGCACACGCTCCCTCTCCTGCACCCCACCCGTTCCTCGCGGACTGGCTCGTTCCTGGAAACCGTTCAAACCGCTCAACCCATTCGAACCGTTCTCCCTTCCACTGCCTCCCCTCGGCGGCATTGGCATCGGAGGAGGGGATGCAAGTGGAGCACTGGCCATTCCATTCCCAGACTGTCTATTCTCTCTGTTCTCCCAATTCTCCTTCTGTCCCTGCGCGTGCTGCTCCCCGCCTCGACCTGCCTTCCCTGCTTCCACTCCTGCTCCTGCTAGATCTCCCGCCGGCCCTTCACCCACCACTCCTGCTCCTCCTGCCCCTGCGGTTCCAACTCCCCTGAGCTCGGCGCTCTCCGCCATCCCCGCTACACGCATCCCCATCATCATCTCTAAGCTCGAAATCGCGTTTTCGGGATTACCGAACGTGTTTAAGATGGTCCCGGGCACGGCTGCCGGGAGGTTCCCCACGTCCTGGAACGGTAACCGTGAGGCGCTGGCCGCTGGTGTGAGAACGCGCCCCTGCTGCTGCTGGCTCTTAGCTAAGTGCATCTCGTAGCCGCACGCGCGAAGATAGAGCACCTGGAGACAAAGGAGAGGGGCGAAGTGGAGGGGGGAGGGAGAACACGAATTATAGAGGAAGCTTGATGAGCAAGAGTGGGTGCTAGCAACTGGTGGGCCGGCGACACCTAACGAAGGAGGGGGTAGGTTATTATAGTAAGGACCTTCTTATACTTCTGCGAAGCCCATTTTTTGATAACCCCACTTCACCTCATCTCGCAGCTTCTTCTCCTCCTCCTCGTGCCTCGCCACTCGTCGCCTCAACTCCGCAACTTCCAGTCTCAACTCGTCCAGCTCCTCGCTGTTCTCCGCGATTCCCGCGCCAAACCCCATCCCACCACGTGGCACTCGCATGCACGTGCTCTCGCAGGAGCCCACGGAAGATCCGGCGGCTCTCGCGGACTCGCTGCTGCATGACGTGTCCTCCTCGTCCTCAACCTCTTCCTTGAATCGCGCGACTTGCCCCATCTCCCCTTCTCTCCCACCAGACCTACCCGTTCCGCCATTGGTAGGATGACTAAGCGGCTTCACGGGACGTGACGCGACAGGAGCAGCAGGCCCAACTACGGCTGCAGCGGCGATGGCGGTCGCGGCGGCCACGTCAGCATCCGGTGTGACGGCTTTAGGGTGGTGAAGATGCGGCGGGTGATTTAGCTGGTGACTATGTCGTATATGCTTAGCTTCAGTAGCACCGAGATGAGGCAGAATCCCTTCCGCTGCGGCTTTGGCTGTAGCGGCTGCTGCGGCGGCTTCTGTGTTTGGGTTTGGCTGCGAGAATGACTTATCCGGCCACGTGGGCCCGTTGGCTGAGGAAAACGGCTGACGTGGATTCGGGGATTTGTTGGTTGGGAAGACACGAGTCCCACCGGTCGAGAGAAGAACATTTCTCTTGTCCTGAGAGAAAGGGGAATGATCCTGCACGGAAGAGACGCGAGAGAGAAAGAAGACAGCAAAGAGCTGATTTTCCAGTCGGCTTTAGGAGGATAATCGACGTGCAGAATGGACGGGACGTGTGTGAGAGGATTGAGAAACGAGACCCTCGCTCAGGTTTCTAAAATCGAAAATAAGTTGGATCCACTACGTAAGAAGCTTTCGGATCTAAGAGAATAAAGGAAAAAACTCATCATATTGACTCAGGAGTAAGGAAAAAACACATCATATTAATGCGAGTTGTGAGACTGCTCATCTGCGAAAATTGACCGCACTAGGAAAAAGAGGATTCTCAATCAATGCCTCACCCGCTTGGCGGTCGTGAGATGGTCGCCGTCATAGTCGCTGTCTTCAAGGGTCGCCGCGGCCATTCGCAGGCCTTCGTGGGACTTGAGCGATTTCTGGCGACCGTCTGCGAAAGAGCTGGAGGCCTCTACGGGGATGGTGCCACCGAAGCAAGCGAGCATCTTGCCTCCGTGTTTCCCGCCTTTTGCCTTCTTGCTGTGCCACATGGTTCTGTAATATTCGATTAACTAAAGTACGCTCGATATTAGAATATACAGACGTTCGATCGGATTTAATATCTGAATATCCGATAGACCTACGCGAACAACAGAGTAGCTTGGACGCCTAGCTCCCTTTACAACTGCTAATGCGTGCTTGACAATAGTACTGCTTTCTCCGTCGGGTTACTAACAGAAATCGTCATCCTGTCCAAGCCATCCGAGCAAACAAAGGCGTCCGAAGTGTATGTTCCGTCCTGCCAGACTCTATGGCAAAGTCTAAGAGGAGGCCCTCAGTAAACTCCTAGCAAACCCTGTGCACTGAATGAACGAACAATTCGCGCTGGTGGCTCGGTTTGGCGCATACCACAAATTACGGAAAGACAATCCCAAGGCACATAGCGAATCCTACAGGCGGTGCGGCGCGAGGGGAACGAAGACACTCCCAAGAAGAGTGAACTGGGGAAGCTCTCTAGCCGGAGCTCCGATAGCCTCCGTCGAGCCAAATCGTACGGAACGGACAGCACGGGTTCCGACGGCGTCGGCGCCCCTACAAAGCTGTCGTCCAGTCCCGTGGCTTCAGTTTCCAGAAACTGCAGTTATATTTGCTCCGTTTGCGAAACTGACGGACGCAATGACGGGACGGGAACTGCCTACGGACGATATGGTATGGGTTCTGTTCCGTCCAAACCTCGGGCAGCTCAGCTGCAAATGGAGGGAGCTTTGGTCAAAAGATTCTTCAATTCGTGGTTTGGATGGAGGGAAAATGGCCGTGGCGCGGCACATGAGAGCTTCAGGGGCGCGCGATGTAGTCGGTTCAAAAGTACGCGCCTTTTTTTGCGCACCCCAGCAAACTGCCACCCGGGCCAGGCCACCGAGATTGTCAGAGCACTGTAATTTTGAATTGGAACTGTTGCTGCAAAACGCACGGGCTCTGAGTGATACGGTATCTGCGGGCACCTTCTTTATGCTGTCAGCTCCAAGATATAATCCAAATATTGCTAATCTCAATAAAAGGTCATATAATAAGGGATCACAGACTTCCCGGGACGTCAGGTTGTACAACTTTTTTGTGCGCCCGCTGCAGTGCATGCAGAGCTATGAACATAGAAAACCGCTTTTCAACGTATTTAACCGTTCTGGGCCACGATGTGTGAGAAATGTACAAAATGACGTCGCCCTGACCAAATCAGAACAAACGGGTCGGGTGGGATGGGATGGTGTGCGCTGTAGAGTGGTTAACATTCCTCACCACTCTGAAATGCTTTCACCTTTCTGTAAACCTCCTACAAGAACTAGAACCCATGATAGGACCATGAAGAAGCTCTGATGACGGCAGCAGGAGGGACGCTCCACACATTCCCTCCTCGGTCTCCCATTTCCTTGCAGCCGCTTTTTTTCGGCCATCACACGTCACGTCCCATTCTCGGCACTTGTTGAGGTCGCGGTCAAATCAAGGCACTCGCCTCTAACTAGCCGTCCTACCTTTGAAACCTGTGGACCCTGGTTAAAACCAACCTCCCGAGACGGCGCTTTCCTGTCCAACTGTCAACGTCCCTCCTCTACGAACTCTCGGGATCGCGGTTTGTCGACGTCATTCGTACCTCGTCCGTTTCGCAACGTCAATCTCACGACGTCAAATCCTGTCGCGTCAAGATGCTGCCACACCGTCACCCGCACAGCCGGCACTATGGATCATCACGAGTCGCGCTGACGTGCCGCCTCCGCAGACCTCGTCTGATTTTCCAATGCCCAGCGTCAGCCGCGGATCCCGCTAGACTGGAGATATAAAATTCTCGAATTGTCCTGCAACTCTCGCCTATCATTAATTCGCTCCGTTTAAAGACCTTCTGCTATCTTACCGTCCACAACTACCTCCTTGTTACGAATCGTTTCCAAACGCATTTCAATGGCTTCCCGCGCGCTCGCGAGCAACGAGGAGCTGTGGCAGCGGGCGAGCAAGACGGGCACGGGACTGAGTGTTACCACGCTGCGCTTTTCGCGAACCATTTCGCTGGACCAGGTGTGCTGGACGCTGTCGCCTCCTCTTTGTATTTTTCGCCCACCGACATGTCTTTATTTCACCCCGAATTCGAGATACAAAGCGCCGCGAAAGCTCTGCAAAACCATGCTGCGGAATCATGCATGGTGAAAACGGCCCCTGCACTGGCCGCGTCCCAGCACCCCATCCTGGCGGCCAGGATCGTGAGGGTGCAAAAACCCAAACCCCACTGGGAGCTTCGCGTGCCTGGGGACGCTCCCCCTGCTGTGTCTCACATCCCCTCCCATCCCTCCCCCACCGCCAGGTTAAATCGGCCGCTGCTCTGGCCGCGTCCCAGCACCCCATCCTGGCGGCCAGGATCGTGAGGGTGCAAAAGCCCAAACCCCACTGGGAGCTAAACGTGCCGGCTGATGCTCCCCCCGCTGTCACTGTTGCTGCGCGCTCGTGGCACGACGTGCTGGGCGTTGATGGGGCGAGCACGCTGGGCGCTAGCGAGTCGGAGGAGGCGCTGAGGCTGCTGACTGAGGCGGAGATGAACATGCCTATGTCCGGCGCTGTGGTGGGGACAGAGAAGGATGAAGAGCCGACTGATGTGTTCCAGGTGAGAGGATTTCTCGCTGTCAATCGTAATGCCTTGGGAATGCTCCCCCCGCTGTCCCCGTGGCTGCATTGCATACTCGTGGCACGACGTGCTGGGCGTTGATGGGGCGCTGAGGCTGCTCACGCAAGCAGAGATGAACACGCCCATGGCTGCAGTGGTTGGGGAGAAGGATGAAGAGCTGACCGATGTGCTCCAGGTGAATGACCATTGACAGCGATGTGCTCCAGGTGAATGACCATTGACAGCGATGTGCTCCAGGTGAATGACCATTGACAGCGATGTGTTCCAGGTGAATGACCATTGACAGCGATGTGTTCCAGGTGAATGACCATTGACAGCGATGTGCTCCAGGTGAATGACCATTGACCATTGACAGCGATGTATCTCAGCGGTAGTGAGTGGGCGCCAGTGAGTCGGAGGAGGCGCTGATGCTGCTCACTCAGGCGGAGATGAACACGCCCATGGCGGCAGTGGCGGGGGAGAAGGATGAGGAGCAGACTGACGTGTTCCAGGTGAGACGGCTGTAAGGTAGGAGGGGTGGACGCGTCACGCGCCCATGATGAGGCGTGAGTACGCTGGGCGCTAGTGAGAGCTCGCTCAACGCATCAACTTTCTCACTCGCTTTTAAATGTAGGAGCTCACTTCCTCTCGGACTTTCCTCCTTTCTTACTCGTCAGCACCCTGTCCTCCCCACCCCTCCCCTGCTCCCCTCGCCTACCCTGCTCCCCTCGCCTACCCTGCTCCCTCCTTTCCCCTCTCCTGCCACAGGTCCACGTGTACCCCTCTGAGCTCACCACGTGTATCGTTCTGAGGGGCCACTGTGCAGCCTTTGATCGCTCCTCTGCTCTCTCTGTCGCCCGTGCCTTCCTCTCCGCCCTCGCGGCTGTGCTCGCTGGCACCGCCCCTTCCTCACCAGCCTGGTACGCACCTTCTCTTCTCCTTCCACACGCCTCACCTTGCCACCTTGCCCTTGCATGCCTCTTCTCTCGCTGCCTCCTCTACTCCCTCTGTCGCCCGTGCCTTCCTCTCCGCCCTCGCTGCTGTGCTTGCTGGCACCGCCCCTTCTTCACCAGCCTGGTACGCCCCTCACTGCACAGCCTGTATGCCTGATGCCTTTTCCCTCTCTCGTTTCTCCGTCTGCTCCCTCCACTCTTTCCTTCACTCCTCTCTGCCCTTGCGGTTGTGCTCGCCTGCTCTGCCCCGGCGTCACCAGCCTGTACGCCCCTCCCCTCACTGCACAAACCAATCTGCCCTGTTCTCAACACCCCTGCTTCTACTAATCTGCTCCCCTTGCTCCCCCTCCTGCCCCCCCTGCTCCCCTGTTACCTGCTCCCGTCGGTCCCCCACTTCCCACTGCTCCCCTGCTTCCCCTTGTTTCCTCTCGTCCCCCTGCTCCCCCTCTTCCCCTTGATTTCCTTTCTCCCCTCCAGGCCCACCACAGGAGTCTCTCTCCCTCCTTCTCTCGCATAGTTCATGCCCAAGGGAGCGCAGGCGAAGGGATTTTTCACCAAGATGGTGGACGCAGTGGGGTATGCAGCTTCATCGCACTCCCACATGTTGCTACCTTCCCTCCCCCACCCCCCCAGGCCTAGCACGGGGGTGTCGCTGCCCCGTTCTCTCGCGTCCTTGATGCCCAAGGGCGCACAGGCCAAAGGATTCTTCACCAAGATGGTGGACGCGGTGGGGTATACCGCCTCCTCGCACTCCCACATGCTGCCCTTCCAGCCACCGTCACTTCTTCCCTTCTCCCCACTGCTCCCCCTGTCCCCCTCTTCCCCCCTGCCCCTCCTGGTTCCCCTGCTCCTCCCCCCTCTCTCTCCCTCCCAGGCCCAGCACGGGGGTGTCTCTCCCCCCCTCTCTCGCGTCCCTCATGCCCAAGGGCGCGCAGGCGAAGGGCTTTTTCACCAAGATGGTTGACGCCGTGGGGTATGCCGCTTCATCCAAATCCGCCATGCTGCCCTTCCAGCCTGGCTGTGCTGACTCCCGCAAGAACCACTTTCGCTCCGAGATCATCCCCATCAACCTGTCCCAGCAAGGTGGGTGGGTGGGTGGGTGGGTGGGTTGGTGGGCTGGGTGGGTGGGTGGGTGGGTGGGTGGGTTGGTGGGTTGGGTGGGTGGGTGGGTGGGTGGGTGGGTTGGAGGGTGTGTGGGTTAGGCGGGGTGGGTATGCTAGCAATCAGGTGGGGCTGTGCTGACTCCCGCAAGCACCACTTCCGCTCCGAGATCATCCCCATCCACCTCTCCCAGCAAGGTGCGTGGGTGGATGGAGGTGTGGTTAGTTGGGTGGGTGCGTGGATGGGTGGGTATGCTACCTATCAGGTGGGGTATGCGGCCTCCTCCCACTCCGCCATGCTGCCCTTCCACCCCGGCTGCGCTGACACCCGCAAGAGCCATTTTCGCTCCGAGATCATCCCCATCCATCTCCCCAAGCAAGGTGGGTGGCCGCGTCGATGGGTGGGTGGGTGGGTGCGTGGGTGGGTGAATATGTTTGCTACAAGGTGGGATATGCCCCCTCCTCGCACTCCGCCATGCTGCCCTTCATTCCTTTCATGCTTGAAGAGCACAGAGCGCCACCTAGCGTGGTGGCGCCATTCTGCCACCTTCCTACGAGGACCGGCCCCCTTTACCCTTGCCACCTTCCGCCCCAATACTAGCTAGCACAGCCTCATCAAAACTTTGCAGCCAAGGTTACAGGGTGGGGTGTACCGTAGGTTGGGTTTTGTCACAGGGGAGCTTGCTGCCTACTTGCACTCCGCCTTGCTGCCCTTCCTTCCAGCTCGCCTGCGCTGATTCATTATTCCCCTTGTCTATCCCCTCTCTTCTTAACCCGCCACCTGTGTCCATTCAGAGACCGATGCCCTCAAGGCGGCCTGTGAGGCGAGGGGCAGCTCGCTGTACGGAGTGCAGTGTGCTTCAGTGCTCAAGGCAGCTGCAGAGGAGCTGAAGCTGAAGAAGGACGAGTCGTTTGGCGTCACCAGGTGGGTACCTGGCCGTGCACCAACACAGCACCACCTCACAGCACCACCTCACAGCACCACCTCACAGCACTTGGCAGCACCTCACAGCACTTGGCAGCACCTCACAGCACTTGGCAGCACCTCACAGCACTTGGCAGCACCTCACAGCACTTGGCAGCACCTCACAGCACTTGGCAGCACCTCACAGCACTTGGCAGCACCTCACAGCACTTGGCAGCACCTCACAGCACTTGGCAGCACCTCACAGTACTGCACTTCAGAGCACAGCATCATCTGTACGGCGTGCAGTGTGCAGCTGCGCTCAAGACAGGGTGTTTTGGTTTTGCCTCTCAACCACTCCTTTCCTTTTCCCTCTACCTCCTTCCCTCCTTTCTCTGCCTCCTCTACCATCCCGACAGCCTCATTGACTGTCGTCAGTACTGCGACCCCCCTCTCCCCCCCGTGGCCATCGGGGTGTTTGACTCGGGTCTGCCCCTAAAGCACTCCTGCTCGCACGCCTCCTCCTTGTGGGGCATCGCCGGGCAGCTCACGCAGCAGGTGGCCACTGCGGTCAGCAAGGGAAAACATTTCTCGGAGCTGCCCGTGCTGGAGATGCTGTTTGGCACGGTGAGTGGTATTTTGTTGTGAACAACAGCAACAAAAACTTCCAATTGTGGTTTTTAAGCCTTGCACTGACGCAGCCCACCCGACGTAATCCTTTGGTTCCACTGCATCTTCTGCTTCTGTTTCCGTCCTCTTCCTCATGACTATCCTCGCCCCAATACCGGCCCACCACAGGTGCTCAACACGCCCTCCCTCAGCCCAGAGCACTCCCTCCGCACCTCCTTCCTCACTGCCTTCACTGATGGCCCACTCTCTCTCGACCTCACTGCACCACACAGTAGTACCACTAACCACTGTCCTCTCTCCCACCCCCCCCCCCCTCCCTCCCTTCCCCCACCACAGGTGCTCAACACGCCCTCCCTGAGCCCAGAGCACTCCCTGCGCACCTCCTTCCTCACTGCCTTTCTGTTTCTCTCTTCTTTCCCCTGTCCCCTTGCCTTCTTTCCCCTGTCCCCTTGCCTTCTTTCCCCTGTCCCCTTGCCTTCTTTCCCCTGTCCCCTTGCCTTCTTTCCCCTGTCCCCTTGCCTTCTTTCCCCTGTCCCCTTGCCTTCTTTCCCCTGTCCCCTTGCCTTCTTTCCCCTGTCCCCTTGCCTTCTTTCCCCTGTCCCCTTGCCTTCTTTTCCCATGTTCGTCCTCCACACCCCCCCAACCACAGGTGCTCAACACGCCCTCCTTGAGCCCAGAGCACTCCCTGCGCACCTCCTTCCTCACTGCCTTTCTGTTTCTCTCTTCTTTCCCCTGTCCCCTTGCCTTCTTTCCCCTGTCCCCTTGCCTTCTTTCCCCTGTCCCCTTGCCTTCTTTCCCCTGTCCCCTTGCCTTCTTTCCCCTGTCCCCTTGCCTTCTTTCCCCTGTCCCCTTGCCTTCTTTCCCCTGTCCCCTTGCCTTCTTTCCCCTGTCCCCTTGCCTTCTTTCCCCTGTCCCCTTGCCTTCTTTCCCCTGTCCCCTTGCCTTCTTTTCCCATGTTCGTCCTCCACACCCCCCCAACCACAGGTGCTCAACACGCCCTCCTTGAGCCCAGAGCACTCCCTGCGCACCTCCTTCCTCACTGCCTTCACCGACGGCCCTCTCCCCCTCGACCTCACCACCACACACGGCACTAGTAACGGCGCTACCAACGGCGCTACCAACGGCGCCACCAATGGTACCGGTGACCTGGCTCTGCTGCAGCTGGACGGGGTGATGGGGCCTCTGGTGGCGAGTCACGGCATCGGCCCCTGCATTGGCATGCCCGACTTTATCAAGGTACGAATCGCTACAGGCGGCTGTTTTTTGCTCATACCAGTGCCGCTGCTGGTGGGGGGGACCTGGCTCTGCTGCAGCTGGACGGGGTGATGGGGCCTCTGGTGGCCAGTCATGGCATTGGGCCCTGCATTGGCATGCCTTTTTCATCAGCTTGCGCTGCCCATGCCCTCTGGGCTCCTTTGTTTGTTTGTGCGCACCATGCATGTTGCTCGTTCTTCCCCCGTCTTCCTTGTTGGGGTGCCTAAAAGGACACCCTGTTTGTGGGTTTCTCCTCTCAAAATGTATTTGCTGGACTCACCTCCTTGTGCAGGATGGGGCGCTGCAGCTGCTGCTGGTGTACCCTACCCCGCTCTACTCCCCTGCTCAGATGGCCCAGTTTGCTGTCCTCGTTAAGAACAACCTCCTTGCAGCTGCAGTTAACCAGGATGTGTAGTGTTATTCCGCAATGGTGTACCTGATAAATAATTGTAGTGCAGTGTTTCTCAGTGGCATAGACATTCTGGTACAACAGATATAATATTCACAGTCTGTGGCAGAATGACCCGAATGTACCAAAGACCCAAATGACAGTGGCCGAATGTAATGTGCTTAAGAGCTGGTGACGAGTACAGTGCAGCGAGACAGTACACAGTTTGGCATTATACTAAATTAGCAAGTTAGCATTAGCTACTACAGAACCACGGCTACATGGTTGCGATCTAACAGTTGAACATATATTAAGGGCCACTATGTGGAGTACAGGAGAATGCCAAACCCTCTCTGACTCTCAATCCATGGCATAGTATCACCCGTCATTAGCCTTCAGCTCTTCTGACGTATAGACGTGTTTGTATGTGGGTGTGCATAGGTGCGGGCCGGTGCGGGTAGGTGTGGGTGGGTGGAATCTGGTAAGGGGAAACAGGAAAGAGGGACAAGGGGAATAAAGTGAAGAGCTGAGCACATGAGGGAGCAATGGGGAGAGCAATGAAGCAGGGAAACGAAGGGAAAGGGAGGGTAGCAGCAACAGCACAACAACAAATCCGAGGACGGCTATATCTGAGTCACATTTATTAGAATGCTCAAGAGTGATAAGAAAAAAGCCGAGTATGGTGCTGGATGTAGCGGCGCGAGGGAAAAGATGTCGTTGCAGGAAAGAGAGAACAAGAGGCAGACTTTTATGCACATGCACATGCATATGGACATGCATATGGACATGCATATGGACATGCATATGCACATGCACATGCACATGCAGATGGACATTAACAATCGAAGACTTACCGTGCAGGCTTGGGGTGCTGCTGGCCGTCAGATCCACCAACATCAACCATGCCTTGCATGCCCCGCCTGATGCTGTCCTGCTTGCTGCCTTCCGCTGCTGTGGACTCCCAACCACTCAGCAGTACCACCATCACCCCCAGCAGTAGCATCACCTCCACCACCCTTGCCAGCAGCAGCAGCACGGTCCCCATCCGCTCCTTGCCACGCCATGCCCGCCTCTATGCGCCTCTGCATGGCGATCAACGCAGATATAGGCGTCCACCCCTCTTTGACCTCTCCACCTCTCTTTACCACACTCCGCCCTTTTCTACCCTCTCCTTTCCCCCCAGCACCACTACCGTCATCAGGGTCAGGACTGTGACTAGTGCCACCACCGCCGTTGCCACCACTGTTGCCATCGCTGCTGTCACCGCCACTCCCACCCGTGCCAGCATGGGCAGCAGCAGCGTGGGTTCCACTGCTGCTGCCACCAGTTCTGCCGTCACTCTTGCGGACCCCTGTGCCGGCATGGACTGCAGCAGCAGTGTGGGTGGCGAGTCTGCTGCTATCTGCCACTGACAGCAGCTGCTGCCACTCGTCCTCAAACCTCACGCTCCGCTGCTGTTCATGCTGCTGCTTTCCCCCTTCCTCTTCCTGTCCTTGCTCTTGCGCCTGCTGCTGCTGCTGCTGCTGCTGCTGCCTTCCCTCCTGCTCCTTATCTCCCGCTTGCTGCTGTTGCTGCTGCTGCTGTTGCTGTTCGATTTTCGTCCTCTCCCCTCCGCCACCGCCACTCCCATCATGCCCACCACCACCAGGGATACTCCGCGTTTCATGCCCTGCCTCACTACCACCACTACCGGCGCTGCTCTGCGCCTCATGCCCTGCCCCAGCACCACCACTGCTCTTCTCCTTGCGTTCTGTGTTCACCTTAAACACGTTATTCCCCCCTTCGATGCTGCCGTTCCCACCACTACTGCCACCACTTGTGCTGGTGCCACCATTGTCGCCCTTGCCGCCCTTGCCACCCTCGCTGCTTGCGTGTGAGTGCCCTCGCCCTTCATTCGCCTTCCCCTTGCCTTCCTGGGTCACCTCCATACGATAGCTGCTCTCCTGCACCCCTCCCTTGCTGCTGCTGCTGCTGCTGTCTTTGCCCTTGCCGCCCTTACCACCCTCACTGCTTGCATGTGAGTGCCCGTGCCCTTCAGTCGCCTTCCCCTTGCCCTCCTGGACCCCTTTCGTCATCTTCAGGTGATAGCTTCTCTCCTGCACCCCTCTCTGCCACTCATCGAGATCCACCACTCTCCCTCCCACATGCTCCTTCCATGCATCCTTCCCCTTCTCCTCTTCACTCTCCCTCCCGCTCCCCTCCTCACCCCCCTCCCCTGATCCTGATTTCTCCTTCGCATCATCACCCTCTGAAGTTTCCCCCGAGTCATCTGCTCCACCTGAACTTTCACCTGAATTTTCACCTGACGCCGCGGATTCCCCTGACGCCCCACCTGAAGCCTCATCCAACTCGGGCCAAAGCGCGCTCGTGTGCTCGCTAGAGTCACCGCTCTTTTCTGGCTTTTCACCTGACTCCTCCCCTGTATTCTCTTCTGAACTTTCTCCTGATTTCTCTGTTCCTGTTGCTTCTCCCCCTTCCTCCTCTCCACCCTCTTTCCCCTCTCCTCCCCCCTCTCCTCCTTCCCCTGTCTTGCCACTGCCACTGTCACTGCCACTGCCACTGCCACTGTGACTGCTGCTGTTACTGTTGCCGCCGCTGGTGTTGAAATTGGTGGTGCCGGTGCTGCTCTGCGCGTCAACAGTGCCAAGCCTGCCGTCACTCTTGTAACCACTCTTAAAAGTGGCACCCTCGGAATCAGCAGCATCAGCGCTGCTCCGTTTACTGCCACCACCAGTGGCACCATCAGCAGCACCACTCGCATCACCACCATCACCACGACTATCGCTGCTGCCCCTGGCAGAACCACCAAGCTTGTCAGCAACCTTAAAGTCACCATACTCACTGCTGCTGCTGCCGCTGCCGCTGCTGCTGCCGCTGCCGCTGCTGCTGCTGCTGCTGCCGCTGCCCCAGCCGCCACTGGTGGTACTGCTGAATCCGCCAGCACCGTTATAACGGCCTCTAGCCTCAACGTTAGCAGTAGACCCTCCTTTACCATCCCCACTACTGCCGCGAGAACCACCACTGCCGCCGCTGCTGCTGCTGCTGCTGCCGTATCCGCACATTCCCAGCTGGCACGCCGCGTCAGCAGGACACGTGTTGTAGCAGCCGCCGCAGTGACGTGGATCGTCCATGGTGCTGACGCACGCGCCGTCGCAGCACTGGTGGCCTGTCGGACACGCCGTGAGGCAGTTGCCGCAGTGAAACACGTCGCTGCGCAGGTTGCGGCACGCACGCCTGGGGAGGGGGGAAGGAGCGAAAGGGGAAGAAGGACAAGGGAGAGAAAGGGGGAAGGGGAGAGGGAAGGACACGCCGTGAGGCAGTTGCTGCAGTGAAACACGTCGCTGCGCAGGTTGCGGCACGCGCGCCTGGTGGGGGGAAAAACGAGAAGGAGGGGGAAAAGAGGGAAGGAGGGAGAGGACAGAAGGACACGCCGTGAGGCAGTTGTCGCAGTGAAACACGTCGATGCAGCGATTGCTACACGCGCGCCTGAAGAGACTTTTGAGACGTCTCGAAAGTTGTCGCAGTGAAACACGTCGATGCAGAGATTGCGACACGCGCGCCTGAAGCAACGGCAGGCGGAAAAGGGAGGGATGGGGGAAGAAGTGGAGGGAGAAGGAGGAAAGGGAAAAAGAGAGAAGGGTGAACGGCGGACACGCAGTGAGGCAGTCGCTGCAGAGATTGCAGGCGCGATTGATGCAACGGGAGGGAGGTGGGGGGAGGGGAGGGAAATGAGGGAGAGGAGGGAAATGAGGGAGAGGAGGGAGGGGAGAGGGGGAAGGGAGAGGGGGGGTGTCTTACCCGCAGCAGACGTCGAAACCGGGGTTCTCCTTAGCGAAGATGAGACAAACGGTCTGGTTACCCAAGCACTTCTGCCCGCGCTTTAAATGATGCCCCACTCCCGACGGATGATGCCCGAACAAATACGTCCCATCCGCCTTCCGCGGATGGTGCCCTCCGCCAAACGGCGCGCGCCCGCCCGCGCTGGCGGCGCCCGCCGCCGCATGGCGGCCGCCGTCGAACCAGTGGTGGCCTACGGAGGCGGTGTGGTGGCCGAGGCGCGGGTGGTGCCCTGTGAACGGCCCGTGCATTCCCTTGGGAATGTCGAAAACCTTGGGAATGCCGAAACCCTGCGGCTCGCTGGTGGTGGTGTCGGCTCCTGGGTCGATCTCCGCCGTTGATCTGGTGGTTGTGGTGATCCGATGGTGGTGGCCTAGGTTCGGATGGCCGCCCTGTTTCTTGGAAGGTTCGGCGTCGGTTTGTGCAGCCGTTCGGCGGCTGAAGAGGGCGCGGCGGAGGGACGAGACGGCGGAGGAAACGGCGGAGGTTGCGGCGGAAGATGCGGCGAGAAAGGAGGGCAGCGGGAAACGGCCGATCCCCCTGTTGGCACCACCGGGATTCGCGAAGCGCGAAACTTTTGAGGAATAAAAGGACGAGGAGGAGGAGGAGGTAGAAGCGAAGGGCAGTTTGTTGGTCGATCGTATTCGAATCTTAAAGAGCTTCGGCCTTCCTCTGCTGCCACGTGGCCGCGGAATATCCGGGAGGAGGTCATCTGACGTGGCTAAGGAGTAGGAGGGTAGGAGAAATAGGATGCAAATACACGATAGTATTAGCGCCGCGACCAAGCTTCGAAGCGACTTCATGTCTGCGCGATTTGATTGAATCGACGGTATCCAGTTTGAGCGCCGTCTATTTTAAAATTGAGTCGGAACGGCTTTCTTCACGGTCGCGTCGCAAAGGCATACCGGCTAAAGCCTAGGTTCGATCGCTAATAGTCACATGACGTCCCATAGCTGTAAGCGAAGCAAGTCTTAGGGCGGTAGCCACTCTTGAGAATTCTCAAAAGTGATTTCAACACTCTGGCTAGTGAAGACTCGCAGTCAGCCCGTTCGCGCGGTATTCGCTCTGGCTCAAGTTAAGAGAGCACGCCGGGCAGTAAGCAGATCTTCTTGCTCGCTATCTGACCTGCACCAGGCCGTGTAGAACTATGCTCCTGGTGGCCATAAGCAGTCTCAGAAGCTTCTGCTAAGCGCACTGCTCTCACTCAGCGGTGTGGCGTCGCCACGAAGAGATGAACTACTACAAGGCGATTATTCCCGAGGCGTCACTGTACAAGCGGCGAGTGATAACCTATGGTGACAGCTAGAGTATTCTAAAGCGCTAAGGCTTACGGCAAGTATTGCCCTGTGTTGACCATTGGAGGAGTGCAGTGGGTTTGGGCAATGGTGCTAGTGGCGTGGGTGGGATAGACGGGGCGTGTGGCGTGGTGTGCTGCGCTGCGATGCAACGACTACATCGAAACGTGCGCTGCGTGCTGGGTGCTGTCGTTTACTCGGCAGCAATCAACTGTCTGACTGGGTGAGATTCGCTCGACCTGCGCAAATCGTGGAAGCATTGAGGCAAACTTGGGCGCGAATAAAGAAAACTACTGAACGGTGATGACCAAGAAGCGTGAAAGCAGATCGGGAGAAACACATGGTTAGGTGGTTTAGGGTGGTAAAGTACGGTAAGAGGATAAACTGTAGTGGCCGATCGGAGTTGGTGGGAAGGAGGGGAACGTTTGAGATGATGCGGGCGAATTTTCAAACTCGTCATTTGTTCGGTGAAAGAAATCCCACTCCCAACGTCTGTTGACAAATGTGCAATTTGAGACATTTTGCGCGAAATGCGACTCGACATTTTGCGTAATCACGACGCGATTCAGTCGCGGCTTGAAAGCTCGTGCTGAGGTGGCTCTACATTCTGACCGTCGATGCACTGTACCCGTTGGGATGTGAAGTACACGTGGCACAACTTCTTAAGGGCTGATGCCCACGAACAGCGACGGCTGAGCGGCAAGGAGACGGTTGCCGACTACAGGATGGAGAGTTGTCGCAGCTTTGGGTTTTCGTGATTTGATTGCTGACAAGGAGCATGTGCGAAATAAATCGACATTGGTGACTGACAGTCACATCGTCGCAGCCAACCATCTTCAGCGCAGGCAAGCGACCAGCGGCAACACTGGTGACGAAGTGATTTCGCATTCCAGCGTTTCAGAAATGGCCTTTTGCATGTCTCTTCTCCGTGAATCAAACTGGTTTCTCTAAAGGCATACAGCGTAATAGCAGTATAACTGGGAAAGACACTGCTTTTAACGCGGATGCAGCGATATGTTTTCTCACCATAGAAGATGCAAAGCTGGAGTCCTTAGCTAAGGGACCAGCACTGGTTCTAGTCCTAGGTCCCAGGAGAAACTAAGAAGCAAGGCGCATTCGTTAGTTATCCTGGTCAAGCGCCGGGCGAGCCGAAATGCTAGGTCTTGCTGCTACCGGCGTGTCGTCGTCGCTTCCTCCGGGAATATCGTCTCGTCATAAATCTGACGTGTCATGCGGATCTCCGCTTCAGTCTGACGTGTCGAAAGCATCATCATCCGTTTCACCGAGCGTTACCCTTTCTGGCGATACGATCAGCGATGGACGCATCGTAGGGTTACCATTTCGCTCCGACCGGCTGCGAACCTCGACAACCTCGTGTCGCGCTTGGACTAGTTCGCAAAACGAGTTTTCGGCAAAGGGCTTGCAGACACCGTCAACGTCGCAAAGACGAAAATCTTCTACGCATTCCCGACGCGACGGAAAACGCAATGCAGTAACGGTAGCGGCTGCTGCTGCTGGGGCCGGATCATCCGACGATTCAGACGAGCCCGTTTTCATTTTCACGAACCCGCGACAGTCGCCAGACGTCGCGAAGGTGCTGCGCCACGATTCGCGCGCCTCCGCCGCCGCCGCTTCCGCTGCTGCTGCCGCCGCCGCCGCTGCCGCAGCAGCAGATGATGTAGCAACCGCTACGCAGGACGCTTTAGAAGCTGGGGCGTCCTCCGCGATTGGCGCCGGGAGCGGCGCGTCCGAGGGGAAACGATCAAGCGCGCAGACGAGCGCGCAAGCCGCGGCAGTGGATCAGCTACTAACGGGGCCGCCCAGGCGAATAGTACCTATAGTGCCGGACGACCATAAGAGCGGTAGGCAGGGGGAAAGGCAAGGGGAGAGACACGGACGGGGTAATGGGGTTGAGGGGGAATGTTGGGGAATGTAGGGGAATGTAGGGGAATGTAGGGGAGGGGAATGTAGGGGAGGGGAAGGGGCGATTTAGTGCCCCAAATGCCGGACGACCATCGAAATTATGACGAGCCGCAGTGTTGGCAATGTGCTGTTGGGACGGCTTGAAGGGGTTTTTGTGTGTGGGTTTAGGACTGAGGGTTTGAGACGTAGTGTGTGATGTGAAGCTACGCTAATCGGTGAACGCACATATTCATGCATCCTCCTCCTCCTCCTCCTCCTCCTCCTCCTCCTCCTCCTCCTCCTCCTCCCTCTCCTCCTCCTACTTTCGCTGCCCCCTTGTTCTCCCACCGTGCCTCTTCCCTCCTCACCTCTCCTCACCTCCCCTCACCTGTCATCACCTCTCATCACCTCTCAACACCGCTCCTCACCCCCTCAGGCTACGTGGCGCTGATTGGCCAGCCCAACGCGGGCAAGAGCACGCTGCTGAACCGCCTCATCGGGCAGAAGCTGTCGATCGTCACGCAGAAGCCGCAGACCACCCGCCACCGCATCCTGGGGCTCGTCTCTGCGCCTGCGTACCAGGTGCGTGATGGGATGGGCGGGAGGTGTTCGGTAACGCGTACCGGATGATTGGGCGGGGGATGGGAGCACACACACGCAAGCTGCAGAAGCCGCAGACCACCCGCCACCGCATCCTGGGACTCGTCTCCGCACCCGCGTACCAGGTGCGTGGGGGAGGGGCTGTGGCCTTTCTAAGCGTGGGGTTGTGGCAGCACACACATGGAAGCTGCAGATTCATTCTGTACAACAGCACGCCTTTTGAGGCGTATTTTGAGGCGCCTCGAATCTTGGGGTGCTCTCCAAGCCACAGCACTAGCCGGACCTCCTCATCATTTTTGAGGCGCCTCAGAATTCGCCTAAGTACTATTCCGGATCTGCAGCTATTCCGATATGTGTTTGGAGGCGCCTCAGAACTTGGGGTGCTCTCCAAGCCACAGCACTAGCCGGACCTCCTGATCATACAGCACACACACATGGAAGCCGCAGATCATTCTGTACAGGACGCCTTTTGAGGCGCCTCAAATCTTGGGGTGCTCTTGCTCTCCAAGCCGACTTTTGAGTCACCCCAAAATTACTCAAGCCGACTCAAAAGTCACCTTGAGGCGCCTCAAATCTTGGGGTGCTCTTGCTCTCCAAGCCACAGCACAGCACAGCACTAGCCGGACCTCGTGATCATGCAGGCTGTGCCGCTGCCTTGTGTCCCTTGCTCGCTCCCCTTCATTGCATTCCATTCGAATCTCTCAAACCAAGGAAACGGATAGAAAGCTGCAAGCTCAGTACGACCGACCTAACTAATCTCCCTGCTTCGCTCCTTCCTCCTCCCTCCGTTGCTCGCAGATCGTTCTGTACGACATGCTTGGCGTGCTCTCCAAGTCAATGCACGAGCTGGACGAGCTCATGATGCCGGCTTTTTGACGCGCCTAAAAAATTGTCCCTCCCTCCCTTGTGTCCCCTTCATTGTCATCTCGCCACTGCAGATCATTCTGTACGACACGCCTAGGGTGCTCTCCAAGTCAATGCACGAGCCTGTGTGTTGTGCCTCAATGATGCCTCAATGATGCCTCAATGATGCCTCAATGATGCCTCAATGATGCCTCAATGATGCCTCAATGATGCCTCAATGATGCCTCAATGATGCCTCCATGATGCCTCAATGATGCCTCAATGATGCCTCACCTCAATGATGCCTCAATGATGCCTCAATGATGCCTCAATGATGCCTCAATGATGCCTCAATGATGCCTCAATGATGCCTCAATGATGCCTCAATGATGCCTCATGCCTCAATGATGCCTCAATGATGCCTCAATGATGCCTCAATGATGCCTCAATGATGCCTCAATGATGCCTCAATGATGCCTCAATGATGCCTCAATGATGCCTCAATGATGCCTCAATGATGCCTCAATGATGCCTCAATGATGCCTCAATGATGCCTCAATGATGCCTCAATGATGCCTCAATGATGCCTCAATGATGCCTCAATGATGCCTCAATGATGCCTCAATGATGCCTCAATGATGCCTCAATGATGCCTCAATGATGCCTCAATGATGCCTCAATGATGCCTCAATGATGCCTCAATGATGCCTCAATGATGCCTCAATGATGCCTCAATGATGCCTCAATGATGCCTCAATGATGCCTCAATGATGCCTCAATGATGCCTCAATGATGCCTCAATGATGCCTCAATGATGCCTCAATGATGCCTCAATGATGCCTCAATGATGCCTCAATGATGCCTCAATGATGCCTCAATGATGCCTCAATGATGCCTCAATGATGCCTCAATGATGCCTCAATGATGCCTCAATGATGCCTCAATGATGCCTCAATGATGCAGAAGCCGTCACACCCTGTGCCCTCCCCTCCCCTCCCACCCCACCCCACCCCTGCTGCTTTCCGTCTCTCCCTCGTCCTGCCTCTCCTCCTTCTGCAGATCATTCTGTACGACACGCCTGGCGTGCTCTCCAAGACGATGCACAAGCTCCATGAGCTTTTCTGAGACGTCTCAAAAACACCTTTTTTATTCGCCGGGCGTGCCCCCCAAGGCAATGCACCAACTGGATGAACGAACTCATGATGCAGGCAGTGCACAAGCAGGACGAGCTCATGATACAGGCAGTGCCTCCTCGCCTCCCCCTTGTTCTGTGTCCCTCCCTCCTTCCCTTGTAGCCGTGCTTGCTCCCCCCTCCCCCCTTCCCCTTTCAGATCATTCTGTACGACACGCCCGGGGTGCTCTCCAAGTCAATGCACAAGCCGGTCGAGCTCATGATGCCGTGTGCCTGATGCCATGAGTTCATCACACCGTGTGCCTTCCCACCCCGCCCCTGCGGCTTTCCGAATCTCCCTCTTCCTCCATCTCCTCCTTCTGCAGATCATTCTGTACGATACACCAGGGGTACTATCCAAGTCGATGCACAAACTGGACGAGCTCATGATGCAGGCAGTGCGCACAGCCACAGTCAACGCGGACGCTGTTGTCCTCGTTATAGACATCACCCAGGCGCCGCAAGAGGTGCGCCCAGCCATCTGAAAGGCATGCACCACCACCGTCAATTCGGACGCTTTTGTCCTCGTTATAAACAGCACCCAAGCGCCTAAAGAGGCGCACTGTGCCTTTCCTCGAGCAAAGCTTAAATCTGACTTTACTTTCCTCATTATGGGGCATGTGTGGTCTGCGGAGGATGTTGACTGATGGTCCATATGGGCCCTCAAAACTTGAGAAATCAGGTCATGCCCTCTGCCTTTCTGTGCTCCTTATGCAGGTATCGAAGCTGCTACTGGAGGGGATGGAGAGTGCAGTGGTGCAGAAGAAGCCGACTCTCATCGTGCTGAACAAGAAGGACTCGCTCAAGCCGGGGGAAGTCGCCAAGAAACTCAAGGTAGGAGAAGCCGGTAAGAAGGTTAAAAGTTAGAGCAAGTTGTTGTTAAAAGTTAGAGCAAGTTGTTGTTAAAAGTTAGAGCAAGTTGTTGTTAAAAAGGTAAGGAGAATCGCCAAAGAGGTCAGGAGATCGATATTGTCATGAGCGTCCCTTTCCCTCTTCTCTTTCTCTTCTCTCCTCTCCTGTGTGTCTGTGATGTGACGGCAGTGGTACCAGGAGGAAGTGGCAGCAGATGGGCACACAGTGATCGCTCTGAGTGCCAAGAGGGGCGACGGGGTGGATGGGCTGCTGGCGTGGATGCTGGACAACATTCCCCAAGGCCCTGCATACTACCCTAAGGTGACTCTGCCTGCTGGCTCACTAGGGTGCTCACTAGGGTGCTCACTAGGGTGCTCACTAGGGTGCTCACTAGGGTGCCCACTAGGGTGCTCACTAGGGTGCTCACTAGGGTGCTCACTAGGGTGCTCACTAGGGTGCTCACTAGGGTGCTCACTAGGGTGCTCACTAGGGTGCTCACTAGGGTGCTCACTAGGGTGCTCACTAGGGTGCTCACTAGGGTGCTCACTAGGGTGCTCACTAGGGTGCTCACGAGGGTGCTCACTAGGGTGCTCACTAGGGTGCTCACTAGGGTGCTCACTAGGGTGCTCACTAGGGTGCTCACTAGGGTGCTCACTAGGGTGCTCACTAGGGTGCTCACTAGGGTGCTCACTAGGGTGCTCACTAGGGTGCTCACTAGGGTGCTCACTAGGGTGCTCACTAGGGTGCTCACTAGGGTGCTCACTAGGTGAATGCCTGTTGACCATTCGCAAGCTGCCTGCTGACTCAACTTCGAGGGAAGTAGGCTTGGAGAATAGGCTCAAGGGAGGTTGGGGGATGGGCTGCTGGCATGGATGCTCGACAACATCGCCTTGGGACCTGCTTACTACCGCCAAGGTAATGCTAGCTACATGCCAAGCCACATGCCACACCACTCCACCACATATCATGCCATCCCACACCATACCATGAGCGAGCTCCCAGAGCGGTTCTTCGTGCAGGGAGTTTTTGAGAATTCTCAAAAACTCCCAGAGCGGTTCTTCGTGGCGCTTTGACAAACACACCCATACCATCTCATACTCTGTTGCACCCCGCACCATCCCTTCCCCCTCACACCCCACCCCTTTCCACCTCCCGCACCAGGACATGGTGAGCGAGCTGCCAGAGCGGTTCTACGTGGCGCCTCAGCATACCACAGTCACACCGCTGAAAGCCGCTTGCCACACCACCCAACCCCATCCCTCCCATGTCATATCGCCCCATGCCATGCCATGCCATGCCATGCATACTCCCCCCGACACCAGGACGTGGTCTGCGAGCTTCCAGAGCGGTTCTTCGTGGCTTCTGAGAATAACACACCCTCCCATCCCATACCATCCAAACCTCGTCGCACCCCACCCCACCCCTTTCCCCCCCACACCAGGACGTGGTGAGCGAGCTACCAGAGCGGTTCTTTGTGGCTCTTCAGAATACCACACCCACGACATCCCATCCATGCCATGCCGCACCCCACCCCTCCCCACCCCACCACCCCACCCATTCCCCCCACCCCTCCCAGGATGTGGTGAGCGAGCTGCCAGAGCGGTTCTTTGTGGTGGAGATAGTGAGGGAGAAGAGTCCACCGCACCCCACACCTTCCCTTCCCATGTCACATGCCACCCCCTCCCACCCCACCCCTTCCCCGTCTCATCAGGACGTGGTGAGCGAGCTACCAGAGCGGTTCTTTGTGGCGGAGATAGTGAGGGAGAAGATTCTGCTGCAGTACTCACAGGAAGTGCCGTACGCCTCCCAGGTATGTGTGTGTGTGGGAGGGAGGGGGGGTGGGTCATTGTGAAAGGGCATGGGGTTGTGGGCTGCATGGTGCATGGGTTAGTGAGGGAGAAGATTCTGCTGCAGTACTCTCAAGAAGTGCCGTATGCTTCCCAGGTGCGGTGAGAGGGATGGGGGATGGGGTGGGGATGGGGGATGGGGTGGGGAGGGGGGGGAGGCGTGGGGATGGGGGGGAAGGCGTGGGGATGTGGGGGAAGGCGTGGGGATGGGGGGGAAGGCGTGGGGATGGGGGGGAAGGCGTGGGGATGGGGGTGAAGGCGTGGGGATGGGGGGGAAGGCGTGGGGATGGTGGGGAAGGCGTGGGGTGGGGATGGGGGGGAAGGCGTGGGGATGGGGGGGAAGGCGTGGGGATGGGGGGGAAGGCGTGGGGATGGGGGGGAAGGCGTGGGGGAAGGCGTGGGGAAGGCGTGGGGAAGGCGTGGGGAAGGCGTGGGGAAGGCGTGGGGGTCAGGGCTCTTCCTGCTGCAGTACTCTCAGGAAGTGCCGTACGCCAGACAGGTGCTGTGAGGGGAAGGTTTTGGGGTGGGGGGGGGATGGGACATTGGGGGAATGGTGGGGAGGGCATGGGGTTGAGGGCTGCATGGCACATGGGTTAGTGAGGGAGAAGATTCTGTTGCAGTAGTCTCAGGAAGTGCCGTACGCCTTGCAGGTATGTCTTTGCAGAGAAGGGGACGGGGAGGATTCTGATGGGGGGGGGGGGGCATGGGGCATGGGACATGGGGCAGGAAGAGCATGGCATGCATACTTAATTTCTGCGTCACTTTGTTTTGGCATGGCGTGGCATGGCATGGCATGGCATGGCATGGCATGGCATGGCATGACATCGATGACATGATGTGATACCTATTATGGCATGGCATGGAATGGCACGTATGGCATGGCAGGTGACAGTGCGAGCGTTCAGGGAGAGGGAGAAGGCAAAGGACTACATCAGCCTTGATATCATGGTGGAGCGGGACAGCCAGAAGGCGATTCTGCTGGGGAAGGTGAGGAGTGGGGGTTGGCGTGAGCAGCGAGGGGTGAGAGGTACGTGTATGTGGGTCAAAGGAGAGGGAGAGGAAGATAAAGAGGGAGAGGAAGAGGGAGAGGGAGAGCGAGAGAGAGAGAGGATTAGCCTCTCCCCTTCTACCCTCTGCCCTCTGCTTTCTGCCCTCTGCCCTCTGCTTTCTGCCCTCTGCCATGACTACTTAAGGCCACGGCGGCCTCTCCATCTCTCATTCTTTCAGTTAGTGCTGAAAATTTTGGCGCTTCGGCCGCCGGCGCTCGCGTGCGCGGCCTTCGGCCGCGAGTTAGGGATGGCAAGGGGAAACAACAAGCAGTAGTAGCTTAGGCAACCGATACAAACAAAGCAAGCATAGACACTTAGCAAGTAGAGGATGGAACGGGTTTGCGTAAGGGGGGAGCGCCTACATGCGATGCGGTCCGCCTCTACCGCAGCGAGCATTCCGCTCGTGTTCAACCACAACTGGCGGACCACAGACACGAAGGCGCCTACAACGTCAACAGGAGTACCAGGGCCTGCTACAAGCGTCCTCAGAGCCAGGGCCGAGTCAGCCAGCTGGCTGGCCGAGGTTGCTCCCGGCGAGGGCGCTACCTGCAGTGGCGTTACGAGCGCGAATAGCGCTGACGCCGCCGCATGACAATCTGCTCGCGGTTTCTGAGAGAACTTGCTCGGAGGGCTCATCGGCATGGAGTCAAACGACTCCTGGAGAATCCGCTCAAGGCTCTGCAGGGATGACGCCAGCGACCATAGGCGGGCTAGGGTCGCCGTGGGAACTTCCTTCATCGGCGGAAGTAACGCAGACGCGCGGACACAGTGAGACGACACGGCGAGATCACGCGGAGCAGGAAGAGGACGCGGCGGAGCAAACTGAGCCCACGGCGACCCGCCACCAGCACCTACAAAGCCCATCCCCGCAGGCAGCGGCCGCTCTGAATGCGCCGGGGATCCAAAGGGATTATGGGGCAGGCGCGCGGAGAGAGGGACGACGGGAGCAGCGCGAGGAGCTGATGGTGACGCCGACCCCGCACGCGAGCGACGAAGCTCCTTCTCCACATCATCAAGCCTATCCAGAAGACGGCGCTCCATTGCGGACGACGCTGGACACGCTTTTCCGCCGCGACTGTCACCGCCCCGTCGCCCACGACGCGCACGCCCACTTGCGCTCGAGCGCACATGCGACTGCCGGCGAGATGGGCCCCGCTGACGCTGGCGGCCAGGAAAATGGTCCCCGCGACGAGGGGAGTAGAGCCGTTGGCGCTTTGCAGGAGGGGGCGAACGCGGAGCTGTGGGCCGACGCCCAGACGTCTGGCGGGCAGGCGACCGCTGGCGAGATGAACTGTGAGGGGGCGAACGATGACGATGCGAACGGCGGTCACGGGATCGGCTTCGCGACGCCACGCGACGAGGCGAACGAGGCGACAACGGCGAACGGGCCGTACTGTGACGATCATCGCGGCGGCTCTCCCGCTTATCGTCGCGAGCTGCCGATGAGCGACGTCGAGGCGAACGCTCCAGGTGCGCCACACCCTTCGCGCTGGAGCGCAAGATGGACCCCGTGCGCGGGGGCTCCCGCGGTGACAAGGACCTGCCCGCGCGCGGAGCCAACTCGCGCCGCTGGTCCTCGAAGCGGCGGCGGATCTGATCAGCGGACGCCGGCGGAGCAACAGGCACGCTCGTGGCAGGGCGTGCAGGAGGAAGCGGACGGGGAGCAGGATCGCTCTCCGCGGTGTAGTCGCGGCCAAGAGCGCCAAGGAAATCCATTGGCCAACGCTCAAGACGCTCCACTAGCACACGAGGAGCCGACAACGCCGATCTCCCAGGCGCAACAGGCGGAACATGTGGCAGCTACCCCGCGGAGCGGACGGGGAAGCACGCGGGGGAGAGGCGGGTGACGAGGAGCGCGCGGAGGGCAGAGGAGCGCAGGCCAAGCGGGAAGGGGACCGCCCTGCCAGTTGCCGAGCCCAATCAGGTTGGGGGAGCCGGCGGAACGAGTCACGCGCCAGTCATTCGCCAGGCAGGGGGCGAGGGGAGGAACACCAGCGCAAGCGGGGAGAAACAGGGATATCAACATAGAGGGGAGTGGAGACGATTATATACCGTCAGATCTGAGGCTACCAGACGATCCCGCCTCACCTCACGCGGAACAAGGAGTGCGGCAAGCGCAGCAACGGAAGAGAGGAACCGGCCGCAGACAGCATCGCAGGGCTCAGCTTCCCCCGGACCAGGCACTATCGGCGTCCCAGCTGGCCTCGCGGGAGGATCTTTTCCAGATCGCGATGACTTGGGACCTTACACTCCTAACCTCCACCACCCACCTACCAATCGTCCGCTGACTGCCGCCGCAGATCCTCGGCGACTACTCCACCTGTATGCTGGCTGCCCTACTTCGGATCTCCAAGCTGCCTAACTGCGCGGGAGCATGGCGGGTCCTCATGTTCCTGTCACGTCTCACGCTAAGACTTAGCCGGAGATCCATCTCTAGATGGAAACTGCTGCGGGAACAGATGCATCTATTCCGATGTGGCCACTGAACGTACACTGACTACTTGGGATCAATGCACCTGGCCGAACCACCTCAGCACCAACGTGACCCACTGGGAATCTGCTCACGTGCGGAGGGGTTGGTGAAACGGGGTAACCTGCGAAAGGCGTTAGCAGCCCTACAACCCTCCCCTTCAGCACCTGCGACAATTGCGACACTACAGCAGCTGGAATCGAAACACCCCCAACCCCAAAATGACTTGCCCGAGTGGGTGCATTCTTACACCACACCCACGCAATTCTCAACCACTCTGGAACGCTTTTCCGACGTCCTTGGAGAATGCCCCAGGGGAATTGGGGCAGGCCTATCGGGGTCAACTTTCGAACACTACCGCGATCAAGCGCTAAGTAACATCGAGGTACAAGGGCACCTCCACTCCGCCGTTACGCATCTTCTCTCGACAAATCTTTCCACTGAAGTCGCAGCACTACTTGCCCCGTCCCGCCTTATAGCCTTCGCCAAACCAGGGGGGGGGGGGGTACGTCCCATTGCGATTGGAGAGTCATTGCTTAGGCTGGCGGCGACGCTCTTTCTATGCAGCATCTTCACCACTGCTGCTGGACCCATGCTTCAATTCCACGGCACTCACCAGCGGAAGGGGAGTCAGACAGGGGGATCCCCTCGGACCTCTGTTATTCGCAGCGTCTATCCAGCAGCACCTCAGGCACGTAGCAACGGAGCACCCCGAAGTCACGGTCCTCGCTTACGCGGACGACATAACCATGATTGGACCCGCGGCGGCGACGCTGGAAGCGCTCAGGGAGCTCACGCCGCTGCTGGCACGGGACGGTCTCACCTGCAACTTTAGGAAGTCGTCGGCGTGGTCCACCGTGCCGCTAGGAGGGGACGTACTCCCCGAGGGCCTTCCCCTCACCCGCGAGGGGGTGCGGGTGTTGGGAAGTCCAGTGGGGTCGCAGAGCTTCTGCTCTGATTTTGTCCGCAGCACCCTGACAGACGCGGCAGCCCCCTTGGGCTCTCTGGCGTCCATCCACCCACAACACGCCCTCCTGCTACTGTCTCGTTGCATCAGCCGCAGAGTCGGCTACCTGCTGCACACTACCCCAGCTGACGTCTTACCGCTCTCGGAATGGCACACATGGTGCGCCGAATTACTGAACACTGCCTTGACCGCCGCCAGCATTCAACCGCCACGCCGACAAGCCGAGTTCAACTTCCTTCTCCGACAGGCAACTCTCCCAGTAGCCCTAGGCGGACTGGGCCTTACGGACCCCACAACTGAAGCAGCACCGGCCTACCTGGCATCTACAACAGAGGCGCTGCGCCTGCTCCGCTCCCTGGACTTACCGGCAACCGCGCCGCTAGGGGCCGACAGCAACGCCCTGCAGCCGTCTGCAGCGCACTCCGTGACCATCCAGGACATGGAGGGGCGACTGCCACCGCTGGCGCTACAAAACCTACGGGAGGAGCAGCAAACCACATCCCAGGACCAGCTGCAGCGCGCCCTCTCCCAGGAAGTGCACGCGGCAAAGGCCGACGCCCTAAGAGAGGAGTCACGCGCAATACAGTCAGCCCCCGAGATGGGCCACACACTCCGCCTAGTCAGCCTGAGAGGAGAGGGAGCGGGAGCATGGCTGCAGGCACTACCCTTGACCACCCCGGACCTCTGCTTCTCACCGGTACAGTTCCGAGCGGCCCTGGCCTTCCGCATGGGCATCCGAGAGAATGTACCAACCTGTGCGAGTGCGGAGAACTCGTAGCCGACTGCAGCCTACCCAACCACTTACTCCGCTGCAGCACAGGCCCCGACAGGACGCGCACACACAACCAGCTGGCCTTCGCCATGGCTAAAATGGCGAGGGAGGCGCAGCTGGTGGTATACCTAGAGAATGCGATGTACTCACCTCCGGATGACCCGAAGAAGGCAGATGTGATTGTGCAAGACCCGGACAGCGGAGAGACCTGGATCACAGACACGACTATCACCGACCCTGTGCTGCAGAACCGGAACCCCACAGCCCGCAAACCCCCAGGTTGGGCTGCAAGGGAGGCTGAGAAACGGAAGGAGAGGGACTACTACCGATACACAGAACACGTGGTGTTCTGCGCCCTGGCCGTCGAGACCTATGAGGCAAACGCGCCCCCCACGACAGCGCTCCTGAAACTGCTGGCCACAGCAGCAGCTAGGAACCGCTTCAGGGCCAGCCCCTTGGCGAAATCCGCCAAGACCAAGAAGATGGCCTGCCACTTCAGCCAGCGCTGATCAGTGGCCCTCCAGCGCTCCCAGGCGAACGCCCTGCACACCAAGGCCAGGGCTGGGATTGAGGCAGCACACCCCCAGATGGCAGCGGACCCCTGGCCGCTGCACCTGGGGGACATCCTACACACGATGGAGGGCTAGAGGGTCACTCAGGGGGGAGGGGAGGGGAAGAGAGGTGAGTTGATGGGCTTATGGGATAGAGGTTATCATGGATAGAACTGCATGTCTGTACCCCTGCTGAATTAATACAACGGACCATTTGAGGGAGAGGGAGAGGGAGAGGAAGAGGGAGAGGGAGAAGGCAAAGGACTACATGAGTCTTGACGTCATGGTTGAACGGGACAGCCAGAAGGCGATTCTGCCGGGGAAGGTGCAGAAAGAGTAGAGAGAGTGAGGGAGTGAGGGAATGAGGGAGTGAGGGAGCGAGGGAGTGGGGAAAGTGAGGACGGAGGAAAAGAGGGGCTACCGTGAGAGATGAGCATCATCATTGGCTGAGAGGGAGCGGGAACACCAGACCGTCATTTAACTAAAGGTTACCATTACTAGTTGTGAGGCGCCTCGAAAGCCCTTGCACCTAGAGATTACCTAAATCTGCCCACTATCATCTCATCACAATACCACTATCATCTCATGCTCCCATCACATCCCTCCCTCACTTGCCCTCTTCCGCCACCATCCCTCCCTCCCCCGTCTCTCCCTACCTTGTCCCTCCTTCCCCCACCCCTTCCTCCCCCATCCAACCATCCACCGTCTCTTGGTTGAATGCGAGCGCCTCAGGAGGGCAAGCAGCTGAAGGCGCTGGCAACAGCAGCGCGGATGGACATTGAGGAGTTTCTGGGGCGAGAAGTGTTTCTGGAGGTGAGGGGTGGTGCTGGAGGTGAGGGGTGGTGCGGGAGGTGAGGGGTGGTGCTGGAGGTGAGGGGTGGTGCTGGAGGTGCGAGGTGGTGCGGGAGGTGCCTGATGAAGGCTTAACGGCCGAAACGCGTTCGCCCAATCATTACTTATACTTCCAGACTTATCAAGTCCTGGCTTCTGCCTTTTTCCTAGCCTTACATAGCAACCCACCCACCACACTTCAACTGAAAGTTTTACGGAGGCCACAAGGCTTGGTGCGGTTCGAATCCAGCCCTACTCTGCAAGAGGTGCTAGGTGGTGCTGGAGGTGAGGTGGGGATGGATGAGCACTGTCATGGAGTGACGATGGGCGTAGGGGCAAGGTAGGGCACTGCAGCAAGCTCGGATGGACATTGAGGAGTTTCTGGGGCGAGAGGTGTTCCTCGAGGTGAGGGGTGCTGCTTTGGCAGGGTGGAGATGGGTGGAGATGGGTGGTGGAGATTGGTTGTCAGGGTGCTTGCACTAAGCTCGCATGGACATTGAGGAATTTTGGGGGCGAGAGGTGTTCTTGGAGATGAGAAAGGAGGAGGTGCCTCCAGCCGGAGGTGAGAAAGGTGAGTCTGGAAATGCCTCGAAAGACGTGAGGCAGGTGCTTTGAAACCCGAAACACCAACTCCTCATCTCATCTCCTCATCTCATTGCTTAGGAGGAATTTTGGGGTCGAGAGGCGCAGTGCTGCGCCGTCATCCCTTGCCCCATCCCCTCCTCCGTCCCTTGCTCCCTTCTCCTCCCCGCTAACTTTACCACTTTCTCCGCACTTCTCCCCATCTCTGCTCCACCTCCCTATTGCTCAGATTCGAGTGAAGGTGAAGGAGAAGTGGAGGCAGGACGAGACGCTGTTGAAGGAGTATGGGCTGGATGTGCGCAAGAGAGGCTCCTGGTACTGACTGCCACTCCTGGGGCTTGGAATGGAACAGCTGTACGGACTGACAGCTCAGGCAGACGCGTGGAGCAGCTGTGCTCATATCACATGGAGGCAGGATGAGATGCAGTTGGAGTATGGGCTGGATGTGCGCAAGAGAGGCTCCTGGTGTACTGACTGCCACTCTAGGGATGCAGGACTACAACTGAGAAATGTGACATGTTCAGTGTGTTGTTTTCTGTAGTGCTTCTGCTATGTGATGGCAAATGATGGCAAAAAATGTACCGTCATCGTCCGGATATAAGACATATATGTCTTTTCTCATACACTAGAAAAAATCTTGGGTTATCTTGTATTTGGGGAGGTTTTGGGTGTCTTATAGGTCTTATAAATGGAAACATTTTTTAACTACTTAGAAATACTTTCACGCATCTTCAAAAGAGTTTCTCATTAGAAGTGTGGATGTTGCGAAGGTGCCACTTCGGCAACCATTGTTCGGGACGCCACGTCATCCCGAATACTTGCAGAGGCAAAATTGGTAGTTCATGAGTCAGCACCAGGGCTAATTTTTGGATTTTGACTACCCTTATGAGCAGTGTGGTACAAGGTCAAAAACCTGATTATCAGTGTGACCCCTTCTGAAAACCCTGTTACATCAGGGTTTATGTCGGTTTTCAAAAATTTACCCTGTCGCATCAGTGTTCTTAAAAGACAAACCCTGGAGAAACCGCAAGTCTGGCCTACGGTGGCCCACTTTGAGCCAGCACATGCGTTGTCAAGGCCGAAATTACGGTTTCGCCAGTTGGCAATCGGGATTCGGGAATCCTGGGTTACTGGAAAAAGGGGGGGTGGGGGAACTGGGGGGGCGGGGGGGGGGGGAGTATGGAACTCGTTATTGAATAAGGGAACCCTTAGTCATCAGTGTGCCTATATTGTAAACCTTGACACATCAGGGTAATCTTGACTCTTAGAGAAATTACCCTGGACCATCAGTGTTACTCCCAAAAACCACCCTGATTATCAGGGTATCAGGGTGATTTACACTGATAAAATTAGCCCTGGTCAGCATGTGGCAGAATTCGCGTGGCGCAAGGGTAAAAATGTACGGTACGCGGTATTTCATTTTTCACTATAATACATTGCAATTTCTATTATAAGACACATATGTCTTATCTCGTACACACAAATAGGTGTCGTATAAAAAGGCTAGCTTGATTATAAGAGACACCCGTATAATAGACAACCCCTGTCTACTATTCAACACTGTCTTATATCCGGGTGATGACGGTACCGTACTGTATTCGGTGCTAGCCCTTGCACAATATTGTTTACCTGCAAATACAATACCAGTAAAGGCGTTTCAGGGTGAGGTGGTCAAGTCCGAATTCAGATAGGCTCGAGACTTTTTGGTGGGATGGAACCTCTAGGGTGAGATGGCGATGTCTGGAAACGTCAGTTTGACCTGTCAGTCATTCAACAGAGACGTTCAGAGGATTTTCTTGGAGGCCCCAGTTGTCAGTGCGTGCAGGCAATACTGCCTCTCCCTTGAGCGGCGGCAACACCCCAATACCACCCTCTGTTCTTGCTCTAACCATCCGGTCATGGTCCCATTCCCCTGCTTTTCTCTTGTCGACACCTGCTGCTGCTTCCAGCGCAAATACCTGATCTCTGTCCTCATATTGCTCTGCAACCGGCCTGCCATGGCCCTGCGTGCCTGCTCTACTCACCCCTCTCTCATCAACACCTGGTGCTGTCAGCATGGACACCTGACCACCACCACCTCCCTGCTGAAATTCATCAAAGTCCCCTCCCTCTCCTCCAGCCGAAACACCATGCATGGTGTGATAATCCTGCTCCTGCTCCCCCGTGCTGTCATGCCGGTACCGGTAATCCTGCAGCAGTGCTGCAGCTTCCTCCCTCCTGTCATCTTCATCGTCCCTCGTGCTGCCAATGCCACCCAGGCTGACGTCACCTGTGTTTTCCATGCTGATGTCATCTGTTCTCCTGCTGACGTCCTCATAGTCCCAATCCCAATCCCCATCTTTTCCAGGCCTGACACCTTTTCTTTCCCCGTAACTCATCTCAGTTTCTATTGCATCCAGTGCAACATCGTTTGTATCTCCATCCTCGTTATATTCTCCATAACGATCCGCTTGTGCACCAGATGCTTGAACTGAAGCTTCTCTGCCATGCATTTTCTGTCCTTTCATGCTTCCTGGTCTTGCAGTAGGTGCTCTCCATTCTATAAGCTCAGACAAATCCTCCGTCTCCTCTTCTTCAGCCATTTCATCTGACGTTGCCATTTCATCCAATGTCGGAACTTCATCCAACGTTTCTCCTGAAACATAGCCTAATTCTCCAATAAATTCTTCACGAGGGAAAAACCTACCACTCAAGGCATCATCCTGATTCTTACCTCCTGCTAATTCAGAAACGGTTTCGTCGCCGAAGAAGCTGTCCTGGTAATGCGTCAACGCGGCGCTACGACGTCCATTCACGTCATACAGGAAACGATCCTGCCGTTCTCGGCTTGAAACGACACTATCCGCTGGACGAAGCGGAATAATCGTTTCCCATTCTATTTCTCCAGGAGTATCATCCGACTCATCCATGTCCTCGGTCTTCGTTAACGTCACGTCAAAATCCATTAGAGTACGATCAACAAGCTCTAACGGATCCAACGGCTCAGAATCCATCAAGAGTTTCCCTTCACCAGGAGTTTTACCGACAAGCGCTCTCCTACCGTGCCTCCAAGATGAAGCTCCGACGCCCAGACTCTCCCATTCCTCTGGTTCATCCGTAAAATATTGAATATTTGCGGAACCTTTACGGTGAACAAGGTGGAGATAGCGAGCGGTTGTCGCAGTGGCTAAGAGAGTCGTAATAAGCAGGGCAATACTGAGAGGACTGGCCATTTACAATGATAATAGAGCAAGAACAGAGCAGCAGATTAAATACGACCACCTTGGCGCTTTCCCCGTCTGCCATGGCTGCCATGGGATTGACATGGCGTCCCACTAATGAGGTTGGCGAAGAAGCGCAAAACTGGAGATTTGGAGCTGGCGGTTCGCGAAGTTGTCACACCAGACGAGCAAATCGCAGACGTCGTAGGGGGGGCACGGTTCGGGGCCAAAGGCAGTCAGCGAATGGAGTTGTGGGATTGTTTGGTCGGCGACGGTAACTCAAGTTCGCAAAAAAGTGCTAGTGTCTGTCGTCCCGCTTACAAATGATTCGTTTGGAGCGAACCGAAATTGAATACGAGTGGGTACATTTCCGTTAGCAGTTAGTGTACAAGGTGAGACTACCTTATGAGACTCATACGACCCAATAGCAAGACGAATGATGTTCTCTAATGAGCCTCACAACAATCTAGATCCTAGGGTAGAGAACTTATTATGATCACTCGTAACTGTTTCCCCATCACCTCACTGTGCATAAACCCACTTGACATAATGACCTGCGAGACTATTTCCCACAACCTCCGCCCTCTCCTCCCTCCCCCATTCTCATCCAAGGAACAAGGAGAGAGGAAATATGAACATGAGGATCACAGGGGCCCTTAGAGAGGGAAAAAGAAGGAATTACAAAAGTAGAGTGGCCAAAAACAGGGAGGGTACAAACGGGGGGAGAACAAGGGTGACGAGGGAAGGGAGAGAAAGCAGGCGCGAAGGGGGAAAGGGAGGAAAAGAGGAACGAGGGAAACAGGGGGGTAGGAGAAACGGTTCTTAAGGTTGGTAGGAAAAAGTGAGGAGGGAGAGAGGCAGGAGGAAAGAGGCAGTGAGGGAGGGAGGGAGGGAGGGAGAGAGAGAGAGAGAGAGAGAGAGAGAGAGAGAGAGAGAGAGAGAGAGAGAGAGAGAGAGAGAGATTGAGAGAGTGAGAGAGAGAGAGAGAGAGAGGGAGAGGGGAGAGAACGAAGAGGAGACGGCCAAGGGGTCATAGTGGGGATCGGTGGCGAGGAGATGAGACGCCGAGAGAAGTAACACCAGGGTCGGTAACGAAGGGGACGAAGGGCGGGTGGGAGGGGGGCAACAGGAATTCACAGTAGACAGGAGCAAGGTACAGGGAGGGCGGACCGAAGGAGAACGCAAAGAGAAAAAGAGAGGCACACAGGGTTACCCCAAAGTTAGCCCAACGACATCCACAGTCAAGGTTCATCCCCACTCTCCGCATTCACTGCCGATTGTAGAAACCCTAGTCAAGATTCCATCCCATACACCAACCAAAACACCCTCCCACACAACCTTCTCAATACCCTCCCGGCCAGTGAACCCCTCTCTAGACTTCGCGCTCCAATTCAGTGCTCGCCATGCACCTCATAAAAGACGAATGCTAAGTACGAACGAGAATACCTTTCCCGAAATTACTGACCACGCGTATGTCCGGAACTATTCAGTACATCTCTGAGAACCTCTCATTACCTCCACGCCTACAGGCCACCTATTCGTACCCCGGCGAGCACTCGTCCCACTGTCCCTCTAATACTCGACCCAACTGCTTCCCCACCCACTGCGTGCACATCCTAGCGACCACCACGCAGGCCAGCCGCCACCGCAAGACAGTCGGACACCAACACTAACAACTGCACCTCAGAGACAACCTCACGACTCTATCCTGTAGCGCTGTATCCTGCCAACATCCTCCCTTCTTCATCCCAGCACTCCGCGTCCCTTCTACCCCCCCTGTCCGTTCATCCCTCCGTATCCTACGTGAGAATGTGACTAAGGACAGAAAAAACGGTAACGTGAAATTGAAGAGCCTACCTTGCAGAGAGGAAGGCACATGCGTGGATGATTGGAAGATTGGATGAAAATGCTGGGACTGACAACAGACATCATGGCCGGAGCACGCTCCGCTGCCGGTGACTTACGTGCCATGGCAAAGGGAATCGGTATCTTGTATCAGGAAATATGTACCCATTATGGAGGAACTCGTAACAAGCAAAGCAACTGACCAGTAACCTACAGGTAACCAGCCGATCGGCAGCCTTGCAAGCCTAGTCCCTACTCCTGGATCCCTGACCGAGCCACGAAACCCTAGCCGCTTCCTGCCAATCAACTTTACGCCGTCAATTGGACCGCGCCGCCGGCCTCCTTGATCCGTCGCTCCGCCAGCTTGCTGAACAGCTTCGCCTTCACGATCAACGGCTGCGATGGCAGCTCGCCAGCGCCGAGCACCTTGAAGAACCCGAACTTGGTCACGTCGAGCACGGGAGCGGATCCAGCGCCGCTGGCCTTCTCCTTAACATCAGCGGGAATGAGCGACCAGAGCTCGTTGAGGTTGATGTGTGGGCAGTGGAACTTGTTCATGGACTTGTGGAAGTAACGCATACCGACTTTACCGAAGTAACCCGGATGGTACTTGTCCATCATGATCCTGTGGTGGTGCATGCCTCCCGCGTTACCGCGACCACCGGGATGCTTTCTGTGCTTGCCGATACGACCATGGCCGGCGCTGACGTGGCCGCGCTTTTTGCGGTTCTTCCTCAGAGAAGTCGTCATGGTAAATCGAGGAAAAGAGGGGAAGAGGAGAAACGGGGATTGCCCTGAAAACGTAACCACGAGAGGTGGGTGCGGAGGAGGGGAGGAGAGGGAGGAGCAGGAGGAAAAGGAGAGGAAGGGCGGGACGCGAGGAGGGAGGGAGGGACCTGTCACTCCAATCGAATGGGAGGGGAGGCGTAGGGGAGGAGGCGCAGAGGGGGAGGCGCAACCGGCACAGGGGATGGGGGTGGGGAAGAACGGGTGGGCGCGCATCAGAGTGAGCAGGTTCGGGGTCGAGGTGCGGCGGGAGGCTGGGGCTCCATTTCGGCTGGGAGCAAACGAATCTGCCAGAGGTGGTGCAAGGCGCCGTGGGTTTTGGTATGGTTGAGGCCATGGAGCTCGGTGGTAAGCCACATGTAGTCGAGTAGCGAATTCTTGGAGTGTATTTACGAGCTTATATCAAGATGTAAGCTCAAAAATTTGGAAACACTATTTCCTCTTTCTGACTAACCATTGACAGTAGGTCTATCTATTGCATTTCCTCACAATCCACGGATAACTATCTATGATAAAAGTGATCCCAGCCTTCTCAATTGGCAATCACCTATTTATTTCAAGAATTTAGAAAGCGTTCACATCAGAGTGCAGTGCATCCAGGAGGTGCACACGATTCTGCTTTCATAGGATGCCATTCCATGCCACCATCATATAGAACGTTGGGTTGGGATTGCTTTAATGTGACGAGAACATGAAAATGATATGTTTTCTTCCTATATCTACTCAGAGGCAGCCTCATCAGTGCCTTCCTCAGCAGCATTCTTCTTCTCGTTTTGCACATAGATGAAGCTCTTAGAGCGGCCTGTAAGCACTGACTTGGCAAGGGACAGAGCCTTGAGAGCCTCGTCCCGAGCCTGAGCCTTCCACACAGCCCGGCGGACCTTGGTCTTAGTCCGAGAGGTCCTCTTCTTCGGCACTGCATGGGGAGGTGGGAAGCAACGGTGTTGAGAACATGACTTTTATGACAGCCAAGAACGAACACAGTTTGGACTCTAAGCATCGCCTACATTCAAGAGGTCATCTCTGGCACTACCCAGCAAGGATGGGAGCAGCAAGGTGCTGAGAAGATAGAGCTCCACGAAAGTGAAGGACAGAAACATGGATTCTATTCTTGCTGACTGGTCTTCTCAAGAATTGTCCAGGAACGAGGGGAGAATCAAGGGCATTGAGGACATGAAGTCCAAGAGAGCGAATGATAGACACACTCGCTGGTGAGGAGAAATGCTGGGAACCTAGTGCTAATGGATCGGGTCAACGAACGCATCATATCAAATTCCAACACAATAAAGTGGCTTCGGAAGGCACGTAAAGGGCTCAGGATTCACCAGTCTTTCTCTATGAAGAAAGTACACGGCTTCAACTGCATCCGACGTCATATCAGCAAATAAGAGGGTCCGGCATAGCACGTGATGACTGCCCGTTCAGATAGCCCCTAGGAACTAAAGGAGGGCAGTTTGAGCAGGACAACGGCCGGCACATTAACCTTCGTGCAGTAAAGAACTTTAAGGATAGGGGGCTTCTCGACGAGGACGTGAAGGCGACTCGGGGGTTAGGAGTTTTTGTTTTTATCGTCGAATGTCAAATGTGGCATGTGCATTTGGTATCAGACTCACGAAAGTCTTCTCCTTTTGTTCAAAAGGCGGCACGAAAGCAAACTACGGGGGCGACTAGCTGTCAGCATTAGGGTAATCGCGACTCTACCCGCTTGCTATGACTACAACGCTGCAAATTTGCTCGATCTCCTGCGCGCAGCCGCCCTACAGTGCACCACCACGCGCAAACTAGAAAAAACTACGAAGGTGACTGGAAGTCAGCATTAGCGTGCATATGACTCTACCCACCTGCCATGACTACAAGGCTGCTGTTTTGCTCGATTTCCTGTGCGCAGCCGCCGAACAGCGCATCGCCACGCGCAAACTCAGAACCGCAAGCGGACACGTGGACACTCTCGCATCCGAACCCCCGCGCGCACGTCAGCTCAGTCGCAATGCCCCTGGAAGCAACGCTAGCCCTAACGGTCGCCTTGCTGGCGATTTGCACTGACGACAGAGACGCAGAGACAGCAGCAATGGAGGCCATGGCTGACCACACTAACCCTGTAAAATTAACGAGGGTGAGCTAAGAAAATATTAGGTCACAGCCTCAGGGCTCACAGCAGCACAGGAGGGAGAAGAAAAGCTCCCCTGAAGTTGGTCAATCGAAAAAGCAGGTTTGAGACCCACCAAGCAGCCTCAGCACGAAAACATTTAAGTAAGGGGAATATTGCGGATTTCAGGGGTTTAAAGATGAATACTAGTACGATTTTATGCGGTGCAGCTGGGATTAGAGGGAGAAACATAAAGATGGGCAGGACGGAGTGATGCTGGCGTGGCGAATGGAAACGGATGATGGGTTGATCAGACGCAGCATTGAGCTGACACGTAAGATAATTTCGCGAAGTATCCTGAAAAGGTAACCAGCGCATTTTCGCTACTGTTATGAGTTGTATGAAAAAGAGTGCGCAGAATGCAATATCGCGGAAGTGATTACAAACTGCTGGGCAAACATAGGGGCCTAGGCATAATATAGCAAGGCTAGCTAAGCCTGAGGTCGCGAAGTCGTGCGAGGTTGGGTGTAGGTTTGGGTTTGGGAAAACCCGAAGGCGACGCGGAGGACGTTCGGGAGGCGAGGTCGTCGGACCGAGCCTGAACTCCGAAAGTTGGAAATGTACGCGTAAGCGGTGCCTTAGTAAGGAATTAGGAAATTTCCTTACACTACCCCCCCCCTTCAAGAAAGGTGGTCAATATCAGGTACGAGTCGGCGAGAAAGATACTGCCGGAGTACCGAGTGCCCTTGTAGTGAGTCAGCCGGGACCCATGTGTCGTCGTCACTTGTGCGATCCACCCAACGAAGTAGAAAATCGACGTGGCGGCCGGCTGGGGTCGCACGAATGCGATGATTCAATATCTTCCAGGGCTGGAGCGTGGGATCTGCTACCGGTCGGACACTGGGCGCCTGGTGGGGTCGAGCGACGTCGGAGGACTGGGGTGCCACGTAGTGGCGAAGTAAACTGACGTGGAAAGCGTCGTAGATATGCCAGTCGTCCGGGAGGAGAAGCTTCGTAGTGACCGGTGTCAGCATTCGAATGATGCGAAAAGGTCCCACGTATCGAGGACGCAGTTTTGCGGGCTGGGGCAGTCTGAGGTTTTTTGTGTCCAGGAGAACCATCTGCCCCTCGCGGAAGGGTAAACTCCGTCGATGTTGGTCAGCGTAGCGACTGGTAGGAAGGTACCCAAACTCGGTTAGTACCGACTTTTAGGTAGTAACTTCCATGCGGTGTAGTGACCCCGCGGTGTTGACTGGTCCTGAAAAATCTGTCGATCCTGTAGCCGTGCTTGAATAATCCTGTCAATAAAAGGTTGGAATGGGCGATTAGTACTGCTGCGGTCTGCATGGATGGGCGGGTCAGGGCGTCGGCGATGTTGTTGGCGCCCTTTTTATATGTGATGGTGTAGCGGAAATTCGATTCGAGGTAGTCGATCCACCGGATTTGTCGTGGGTTGAGCTGTGGTTGGCTGCGCATGTACTGTAGTGATTTGTGGTCAGTTCGGATTGTGACATCCGCTCCCGTGAGGTAGCATCGCCATGTTCGAAACGCATGCACAAAGGCGAGCATTTCCTTGTCGTGAACCGGGTAGTTGCGCTCGGGCGCCTGCATTTTTCTTGACTCGTACGCGATGGGTTGCAGTCCGTTGCCGAAGTCCTGTAGTAGCACAGCGACAGCGAAATCGCTGGCGTCCGTCACGACTTCGAACGGTCGAGATGGATCTGCCAGTCGAAGCACCGGGGGTGAACTCAAAATTTTCTTCAGCTCGTTGAAAGCCAGCTGTTCTCTCTCCCCCCAAAGAAACTGCACGCCCTTATGCAGGAGATCGGTTAACGGCCTGGTTACCCCCGCCATATTGGGTACAAAACGGCGGACGTAGTTAACGAAGCCGAGGAAACTCTGCAACTCAGTGATGTTCGTGGGCGGCATCCACTCCGAAATCGCTTTTATTTTACGAGGGTCGATTTTAATGCCTTCCCCAGAGACGACGTGCCCTAGAAACTCCAACTCCGACCGTAAGAACTCGCACTTAGAGCCCTTCGTAATCAGCCGGTTCTGCTGCAAGCGCCGGAACACTTCGTCCAAATCCTGTAAATGCTGCTCCCGTGTCCTGCTGTACACCAGGATGTCGTCCAGGTAAACGATAACTTTTTTATCCAACATGTCGCGAAACACCCCATTCATAGTGAGCTGGAACGTCGAGGGTGCGTTCGTCAGCCCGAACGGCATCACGGTGTACTCATAACTGCCGTAGCGGGTTCGGAATGCGGTCTTCAGGCAGTCGTCGGCGAACACCCGAATTTGATGGTAGCCACCTCGCAAATCGATTTTCGAGAAGAAACGAGCCCCGCGAAGTTGATCCAGCAGGTCGTCTGTTCGTGGGATCGGGTAACGCGACTTGATTGTGACCCGATTCAACGCTCGATAGTCGATGCACATGCGCAGGCCTCCGTCCTTCTTCGGTGTGAATAGTATCGGGGCGGCGTACGGCGACGTGCTCGGCCGGATAAAACCCTTAGAAAGCAGATAATCCAGCTGTTTCTGCAATTCGTCGAGCTCCGGTTGGCTGAGCCGCCATTGGGACCGAACGGTTGGTTTCGCGCCTGGCTCCAGCTCGATCCTGTGGTCTTCCGGACGCTGAGGTGGCAGCCCATCAGGTAGGTCATCCGCGAATATTTCGGGGTACCTCCGAATTATGCTCGCCACGTCGTTGGGTACAGCAGCGCAGAGCGTGTCGATGTCGGCGATTTTTTCGGAAGCCACCACCTCGTACAGCTGTACGGCGTAGCCCTGCGCTCCCCGTTTTATCGCCCTCTTCATCGTTATCGCGTTGACACGTGTTGTCGTCGGCTCCGGCTCCGCCCATTTCGGAAGTGTCTCACGCCCCTTGTTGCACAGCACCGTGATCGCTCCCGTCGTCCAGTCGATGGTCGGATTGAAACGCTGCAGCCAATCTCTTCCGAGCAGCACATCGCAACCGTTCAGCGTTGTCGCCAACATCCGCATGGAGAACCCGAAATCGTCGCCACACTTCATCCGAATTTGTCGGACCTCGTCCTTGATCGCCAGCGGTGTTCCGTCCACCAATCGCGCATCAATCTCTGGTAGACACGTGTCGAGCTTGACTCCGATTTTTTTTGCCGTCGCTAGGTTGACGAGACTGTGGCTCGCCCCACCGTCGACGAATAATTTTATTTTTTGCCCATTAACCCTCCCCACGACCAGCACAGGGTGATCCACGTGTTCATCCACTTTATTCGTCCGGTTGCGGCCGATAGCCCGTATCGGTACCACCACTCGGTGTGGATGTTGATTGCCGGGCGACGGGGTCTCGTCAGTAGGTGGCCCGACTGCTACTAACTCGTCTCTTTTCCCGACCCCTCTCCGTCGTTCCTGTTTCCCTGTTTCAGCTTCGGGTAGTCCTTCTTCCAGTGGCCCGGTTGTGTGAAAAGAATAAACAGGAATGAAATGACTAAGTCAGAGTTGGGTACAAATACAAGCCTAGAAAGCTGTACCCCATATGTGCTACCCCACTATAGCCTACAAACATGCATCAGTTATAATACTCTGACACACCCCCATAGGCAAAGTGGGGGAGAACAAGGGGTCACAAGACCAGTCAAGCAAAGCAAAGCAAAGCAAGCTCAGGGTGGATCACAAAGTCACCACACAGTCCGAGCACAAGAGCAGGGCCAGAGGCCAGTTCACATGCAGGAGGACAGACATATATATAAAACTAGACAAGCAAGAGCAGGTATATATATATGTCATAGTACAAGTGAAGTCAAGAGGAGAGCAAGTGAGGCAAGACAGGCACAAGACCCAGCTGGGTGCAAAAGCGCTGATGGTCACAAGGCGCGAGTGCCTTGGTGAACACATCAGCAGTGTTGGCCTCAGAGGCCACGTACGCAAGTCGCAACTGACCACGCTGCTGCAGCTCACGAGCAAGGAAGTAGCGGAGAGCAATGTGCTTCGTTCTGTGCTCCAAGCGCTGCTCTCGACACAAGGCCAGCATGGCCTTGTTGTCTACGTACAGCACTGGAGGAGAACGAGGCGGCTCTCCAAGGTCAGTCAGCAGGTAGGTGAGCCAGCGAAGCTCCTGTGCAGCCATGGCCCCGGCGTAGATCTCAGCCTCACAACTGGAGCCGAGAACTGAAGACGAGCGAGTAGACCGCCACGAGACAGAGCCGGAACCAAGGCTGAAGGTGTAACCCTGTGACGACCGCTGCGTAGCCTGGTCGTCAGCCCAAGAAGCGTCCGCGTGGCCTGTAAGGACCACTGGACTCCGCCCTCCAAGCACTAGCCCCATGCCCGACGTACTGCACAGGTAGCGCAATACCCTCTTCGCTGCTGCCATGTGCTCTGGTCGGTGTCTCCCAGGAGCAACATAGCGTGCAAGAATGCTCAGAGGGTATGCAAGGTCAGGTCGTGTGCAGGTCATCAGGTACATGAGGCAGCCAACAAGCTCTGCATATGGACCACTCGACTCTACGGACTCATCCGAAGGCAGAGCTGAGAGTGAGTGGCGAGTAGGCAGAGGAGTGGCCTGAGGTGAGGAGTACGTGAAGCCGAAGCGCTGAAGGACCTGCTGCACCATGTGTGACTGAGTCAAGGTAATGGTGCGGCGTGCTCTGTCCCGAGTGATCTGCAAGCCAAGGTAGCTGCGCAGTTCACCCACGTCTGTGCACGTGTGTCTCTTCAGCAGCTCGGACTTCACGTAGGCGAGTCCAGCAGTGTCCGCTGTGGCAAAGACCAAGTCGTCGACGTACACGAGGATGTAGAACGGCGGCGGGGAAGTGTCGGTGCGCAGAAACAGCGACGGGTCAGCAGTAGAAGGAGCAAACCCAAGGGCCGCAAGCGTAGTCCTCAGTGTGTCGTGCCACTCACGCGGTGCCTGGCGGAGACCGTAGACTGGCCGTCGGAGGCTCCACTGGGTGCCAGGAGGGAAAGTCCCAGTGAAGCCAGGTGGACGGCGAAGCCAGATCTCCTCCTG